GATAGGCTTCACCGGATTGGGAGCGGACTTGAAGTCGAGAAGGGCGAAAAAGCGACGATTGACTGTACCGTTGGGGCGAGTGGCCAGGTCGCCGATGACTGAAGAAATGGAAACAGAGAGGCGAGTCTTCCATGGCAGAGACGGCGATCTCGGCGTCGGAGAAAGAGCGGGAGAATCCTCATCCATGGTCGCAAAATCTGAAATCGATTGGTTTGTTGAACTACCGAGAAGTTTTAGCAGATGAAATGAATGATTGAAAATGAAATGGAAGGACGTTAGTGGTGGAAGAACCAATAAATGATGGCAGATGAGGAAGGTGAGCGTCTGCCATAGCCAATGACCTGTGACCTTTTTCTTTCATTTATTGGTTTCTACACAGAAACAAAAAGCCAATGAATGTTTTTGTTTTCTCTCTCTTTTTTTTCCTTTTTCTTTTTTTTCCAATTGCTCCACAAACAAGTTCATTTATTAACATATCATCTCAGTTTTTTATTTTTATTTTTTTTTTTTTTGAAAATTACATGAACTGCCCTTGAGGACTATAACAATTTATAAATAAGTCGCCTTTTAATTACCTAGAAAAAATTCCTTTTAGTACAATACGTGCAGATAGGAACTTCGAACTCACGAACTTTTGATTGACATTTTAATCAGTTGAACTATGATTAGATTGACATCTCAAGAAAATTTATAAATACTAGACAGCATGTATACTATGAAAAATTTATAATGTCTATGTGAGTACGCACTCTCTTTATTCACACTACAATATTTCCTTCATAAATAATGGATCTTACATATTCTCATATAATAGTAGCATAAAATAAATGGGAGTAGTATCCACACTATGATAGAAGGATAGGAATTTTTCCCTCTCGTGATGTTTGTTCAACTAGATAAGATATATATCCTCGATCAGAATATTGGAGGTTCGAATCCTCACTCCCCACCAAAAGAAAACGCAAGAACAACTATAAAGTCAATAACGCAACTAAACTATACAAACAGCAAAAGAAACATCACATGCATCATAAACGAGACAAAACATAACTCATTTATGAAAATAAATCTCAAGCAAACTCTATCAATATAGTCGAGAGCTAGAACAAACAATATCCCGTCAAGCAATAGCACGAGTATATATACATCACTCTTAACAAGATGTAAAATAACCAGGATTGTTAGACAAGAAGCAGTCCATGTATCTAATGCGACAAATTCACGTTATCTCACCAACAACAAAGGGGAAACACCTGATACTCAAGATAAACTTCCTACTTCTAATCAAGTTCTGAAGAGAAGTTCGATAGCAGCGGTCTCATTCCAAGGGTCAAGTCCTTCGCTCTTATACCTCCTTTCAGCAAAAGGTCAACATATCTCAGACAAAACAAAGACTATGATCCATCTCACGAACAACAACTCACATCAGCAAGAGAAAAACGATGGCTCAATACACATGAAAACTTTAGATAGGAGAACTGACCTAATTGCTTAGTTGAAGTCTCCTAGCATATAATAGTATACGATTCGACCAATGGTGAACTCTCGGTACAATATATGCTCTAACAAGGACAAACAATTCTTTAGAGAGCCGAGGGCAGGCCCAAACACCTCACTTGAAGGGGCGTAAGATTAAATCTCATAAAACCGCTAGTCTCTTTCATTTTATCCATATATACCCGCACAAAATAATGAAATTTTCGAAGTAGTCCAACAACAACTCAAAATGAGCAAGTCATGTGTCCCTAATAAAGCATTCTCTCGTAATGGTATCATAGGTTAAAGTTGGACCCAACTAAATTAATTGTTATTACGGTTACATGAAATTCGTCTCTATTTCTCTCTTGTTCATTAGTTTTGATTCTCAACCATCCATATTTCATATATATAAGGATGACGAAGATAACTTTACTACGATATCAAAATCTCCACATGCTCTATATTTCAAAGTTTTTATCCTTAAATGTAAGGGTAAAAAAAGTAGCAAAGCACATAAAATCAAACAGACCTATATTATATAATAAGGACAACAACAAACCAAACAAAAATAAACAATAACACAAGGAAAGACATAATAAAAATAAAAAAAAAATCTCTATTTACTTTAACAGAATTCTTTTTACTTTTTACTGTAACGACTAAATTGTTACAAATTTTACAATACAAACTTTTATCCTTTAATAATTAAATCGTTATAAATTTAAATTACAAAATTAAAAACTATCACATGCTAAAATTTCAAGAAAATACCATGACCAAATATGTCTTTTAACCTAGACCATTGTGCGGCTAAGATCTAATTTACAGAAAGTATCGTACGTGGTTGCTCCTACAATTATTTCGTCGGCTCAATGTGATCAATGGTTCAGATTTGATCAAAGTTTAAATGTGTGGCTAAAATTCATCTAGTGTATGAAAATTTTGGTGTGCTTCTCTAATCAACGGTCCAGATTGATGTTATTTTGTGGTCAACGGTCAGATTTATTTCTTCAGAAATTGCAAAATAATGGAAAGAAAGAAAAATAATAAGAGAATATTAAAATTGTGGCCCCTCTCCAAAGTGATGGAGACAGTGACGTATCTATAATCTTAGCGTCGAAAGAGACTTCACTTAAAATTTAGTATAAAGAAGTTATATATACATGATGGATCCCAATGTTAAATTCATAAATGAGCTGAACTATTGAGTTAATATATCATAATTGTCGAAAAAATATTAATGAAATATAAATTAGGAATTATAATAATTAAGTGTATAAAAGTAGTTCAACACATGTTAGGGGTGAGATTGACCATTAAATTTTTCATGAATTGAAGTTAGGAAAACGACATAGGTCAAACCGCTCAGGTCAAATCATTCAAGTTGGACCACCCGACCAGACTGGACTTGAGTAGAACCCAAATTCAGTTGAATCGATCCACCTGAACCAACCTAGTTGAAACTCCTTCTATACATAAGAGAGGAGACTTGAGGTGTAAGGTAGGTTTTCTCACAACTTTACCTTTTACTACTCTCAACCAAACCTTTTACTAACTTAGGCATCAGAGTATGTTAGATTTAGTGTCACACTGGTGTGTAAATTTCCAGAGTTTTCGTTGTTAGAAAACATATCCAAATTCCTACGTCAACACGTGTCAATTATATATTCGAATCCAAATTTGCATCTTTTAAAAACGGAATAACCAAATGGTTTCTAAGGGATAGTTTGGGCGGTTTGGGGCCTTGAGGAATATTTTTAAAGTCTTGGGTTCAAGTCACATGGAACGCAACTCCTCAAAAGTACTCTGATAATCACGTATGTTTCATTCAACATTAAATATACTTCTTTTATTAGAGTCGGAAGTTCAACTCTTCCCTACCTCACAATTTTTTTATTAAAAAAGAGCCTCATTTCCAATTATTCAAAATTTTCTTTTGCTACAAAATACTAGTCTCCTATCTAATTTTTGTGCTTGTAGTTAGAAATGTCATTTCGAGGCCTCAACTTTCAAATTTATTTTATTTTAGTTCTTAAACTTTTAAAATGTCTATTTTAAACTCTCAACCAATTATTTAACTGGTAAAATGTAGGGCTTCTAATGCAGCCATATATTAAAATTACATGGTTAGCTAAAATGAATTTCTTTACTGAACAAAAATTAACAGCGTAATATCGACAAATATCAAAATTTTTATCTTTTTAAAGTTTCAAAACTGAAATGAAATTTTTTTCTACAATCGAAGGAAGCAGCTGCCTCTCTCTCATGTTAGTCGTTAGCGTTAGTGACTAGTGAGGAAAAACCCACCAAGTATACAATTAGTTAGTAACCAATTAATATCTAAAACATCTGGTAAAGTTTCAATTGGTAAATTGAATCCAACGGTGCAGTTAATATGAGCTGAGCATAACACAGTGGATAAGACATTTATTATCTTCTATAAAGTTGAAAAAATATAATGTTGGTCCCTTGAGTTTTGGGTAGATATCTATTTGATCCCTGAAGTTTCAAAATTGACATTTTTTATTCTTGAGGAATGGTTTTAAATGGTCCCTAAACTACTTTGACCCCTTTAGTTGACCAATGTTAAAATGATGTGGCAGCTAAATTAATGATTGTATTTTTTTGATTTGGTAAAATATATTAATTTAATAATTTATTTTAATGCTTGGACTTCTACTTTTTTTCCAAATTATTTCCATTCTTTCATTTTCTCATTCATTAATAATTTATTTTGAAAAATATAATTACTAATACAATCAAATAGACACCTATTCTAAATCTCAATGACCAAAAGTGTATTTTTCTCGAAACTAAAAAAAAAAAAAAACTCATGTCCATTTATACTTTAAAACTTACGTGATTAAAATTTGAATAGTGGGTCAAAGCGAGCATAGTTTGGCGGTAATTGGCATATACGTCAAACTAACAGGTTAGTACACCCACTAATTTTTAGAAAGATAAAAAATAAATCGACTCTAAGTATCCTCTTTATCTTATAATTGCAATACTTATTCAAGTTTAAGATAAAAGATTTGAAACTCGCACAGATGAAATTTTTCTACTTAAACTTTTAGTACAATTGTAATGCATTAATTTAGCCATGGCCACGAATATTTTGAAATTTTATTATACTAATTAAGAGTGTGTTTATTACAAATTTTTAAGTGATTTTAAATATCTAAAATGTTTTTTAAAATATCTACTGTGTTTACTAATAAATAAAAGATATATTTTTTAATTTGGATGAGTTTAAAACCTCTTTTGAAGAATAGCTTGAAAGATATTATTTAAAAAAGAACAACTTTTAAAATAATTGACCAAAAATCACTTCCAACTTTGTGTAAGAAAAAAATAAGGAATTTATAACGGTAGCTAATATATTTGTCATATTTGTAAATATAGCAAAGGTTTTCGGGTTTTACAATTATGGCAAAATATTTAAAATCTAATTTTCGAACTTTTAATTTCATTTACCCCTTCCAAATTTTTAGGTATATCAAATCAACTATATTGATGGTATATTAAATCATATATATCATTATTATGCCAGCATTCATATCACGTATATCAGCAGCCCTCGTAATCAAGTATATTAGTGTTATTAATCCCTTCAATAACATAACAAATCAGGTATATCAATGCTATAACAACTCGTATCATGTACAGAAGACATGCGTTTAGATTATAAAAGACAAATATTTCATATAAAATTTGTAAATAACATGATATAATTCAATAATAGATCGTGAATATAATAAAGAGAAGTAATATATCAGGTACATCGTTGGTATATCAACATTCATAATCAGATATATTAATGATATATCAAATAAGGAATATCTGATCAAATATATGTTAGATATATCATAATTATATCTAGTATATCATTATTTGAGCTCTATTGAACTTTTGCTTTCTTTTGCGTAGATTGGACCTCGAATTTTGCTATTTTTACAAAATTAAAAAGTGGTGGCTACTTTTATAGTTCCTATTATTTTTTTTTTTTTACTACTTTTGCAAGCACCCCAAAAAAATATATTTTTTTTAATTGATAGAATCACTTTTAAACGTGCTAATGGAGTTAGGTGAGCTTGACATACCTTCTCATCACTTCTAAAAATACATATTTTTTCTTAAACCAGTTTCTGCAAAATAGTTCAATTTTAAATATTTGATTACATTTTCTTAAAAGTGATTATGATCACAAGTTTGTTTGGTTCATCTGAAACTAATTCTAAAAATGCTAAACCAGTCATCAAGTAATTCTATAGTGATTCCAATCACTCTTGTGGGAGAATCAACTTTCTTTCCAAAAATAAAATAAACCAAAATTTGATTACCATAACAGTTAATCCAAAACAATAACGTGAATGGCCTTCCTTGAGTTGCGTTTCAAAAGTGTTCAAAAGTCTACCGGAACGAAAAATCGTGAGTTTGAAAGCCGATTTGTGAACAAAACTACCACAATTTCTTTAAAAACCATCAATTTTTGCCTCAATTTTAGTCAAAAGAAAAAAAAAACGACCCAAACAACTTACTCACAGACTAGAAATGCTACAATACAAAGAAAATAATCCACTATTATCCCCATGAGATTATTAAATACACAAGTTCTCTGTAAACTCTGTCTGTGCTCTCTTTTCCAAGAAAGAGAACATAATAATAATACAGTTATTGGGGTTAAGAATCTATTAACCACTCATAAATCTGCTCTCCTCTACAACCTACCTTCTTCTAAGGTTCAATGTTTCATTGAATGGACAAATTCATAAATAATATTTCAATTGCTTCCACATCTAATCATATCATTAACTATTCTCTAACTAAATAACTTACATTCTCTCCAAGCCAATACTAGCAGCAATGTGTGTGCTTTGCTTTTGGCAATTCATCTATGAAACTTTGGTCGAACGCTGATCACCCCAGGCCTCGGCTGCTCAAAACGGTATCTGCAAAGTATCAAGTGGTAGAATCTATGAACATCTTTACCATTTTCGGTCAAAATCGAAACAGGAATTAGATAGTTTCGACGAAATTATTTAAGAAATTTGCATGTGGAAGAGTTACCCATTTTCACTAAGAAAACTTGTCACGGCCGTGGGTAGAGCAGCTTCTCCCCTGCTATGGTTACCTATACCTTTTCAGGAACAAACAAAACATTACGAGTCACACTCACATATTTGAATCAAAAGTAAATGCAGGGATTCATTAGTTTATGAAATATGCTAATTTAGTAACATTTAAATCTTTCCTTTCAGCTCAGTCATTTTTTTTTAATAAGAAATCGAACTTTCAATGAGAAATGAACAAATATACAAGCACATAAAAAATAGCCCAATCAAAGGACATTCCCAAAAAAAAAATGAGCTCCAATCTAAAAGAACAACACCTAACTGATAATTACAAAAAAAAAACTCTTAGAAACCAATGCCCACGGCCTCATTCAACTTATGATGAACCAATTGTAATATAATCAGTAGCACTACTCTGCATCTAGCTAAAGAGGCCCATTCAATGATACTTGCGTTCATGCACTGATAAACGTAATGGAACTATATATGCTCTAAGCTAAGCCCCCATGCAACGCACATTTAGCACAAGCTCGTGGAATAGGAATTTGATAGGATCCCGATTTTACGAAAATAGACTGAAATTGTATCATGACGTAAAAGAGAAATTACACTGGTAAAAGGCTAAAAGCCATTCTAGAAGACTCTTTCTCCTACAATTGACTAATTTCCCAAAATTCTGCCTAATCTCTGAGCTCCCCAAGTAGCACCCCAACCTACCCTAACAAACTACCAATTATGCCAGTAGTGTGCCACTATTAACATTCCTAATATAGTTCATTAATACTCTTTAACAGAATTGTCCTTTTCATTAATGCCTCAAGACAGAGAAAAGCTGAGCCATTTACCCTGAATCCTGATGCACCAGTCAAGAGGAAAGTTCTTCCACATTATATATAATACCCCAGGGGCTTTCATTACACACCAAGACATCTTTACACATGCGAGGTACATTGTAGTAGGATAGTGATAGCCGCATAAAAGAAACTTTACCAACTCACTCTTCCTCTCACATTGATATAATTTTATAGCAGCACTGAGAAAATAACTCAAAACAAAACCTCTCAACCAACAAGTCAACAGAAAAGCTAGTCCCATGCGTTGAAAAGAAAATACTTACAATAGGCCTCAAAATTGTTTCTGAAAATTAGCATACAAGATAATTTTTTATTGACAATATAGATAAGTTCTAAGCTTGGATACCTAGGGCCAGGTATCTTCGTGACATAACAGTCAACTGGAAGAACAAGTCCCTTTTTTGTATGAACAGGGAGAATGAGAATATATTAAACAACTGGAAGACTCAGTCCTACTCCACCTTTTTAGAGGCCCAAAATTTTCATATATATCATACGTTGTAGTAGTCAACAATCCTGTTATCTTCTCACAATAGTCACTTGTAGTTTGTTGATGATACTTTGTATATTTTGCTGCTGATTCCTTGACGGTCCAGCGTCTTCTTAATTTTGTTAAGAGTTTCTGATGCTGCTTCAGGCTATAAAGTATCTGGCAAGTATTTTGATTGATGGTAGTAACTGTTCCAACAGGAAACCTTCTTTTGATGATTCATTCCAGTGCGAGAAGCTGGCAAACTTATCTCAGTCCCTGTTGCTTGATAATCCTAGATCCTCTTCTTTCTGGAATGGATTGGACTTGAGTGAGTTGGGTAATTAAAAACTTTCCTTTTTCCAGAGGTCAACTGATTCTTATTTATATCCGTACTTTTAAGACTTCCTATGTATTTCCTCTCCTCTCAGTTTCTAGAGTTCCTATAAGATGCCTAGAGTTATAGGAGTTACTAGTAGATTGGTAAATATTTTTGGGGTAGGAGGTGCCTTGTTCGGAGGGTGGGGCAGATCAAGAGAACCAGAAGACTATCTCTCTCCATGAGGAGAGCGATGGTTTGGGAACTGGTAATCTATGAAGCACGGACACTCACACACTTCGAACACGTGCCTGACACGTCATTTTAAGTGTCCCCGTTTATTTTTTTTCCGGACACGACAAATATAAGAAGGGACACGGGAATAAAATTTTCTTAAAACAAAAGGCCACCAGCCCATTTGAGAAGCCCAGACCTTAACAAAAATAAAAAATAAACTTAAAAACATAAAAAAATAATAATAAAAAAAGAAGCCCTAAATTCCTACAACTACTGTTTTCTAAATCTCCCACAATGAAATGCACGAGATCCACGCCTTCGACAATTGCTTTCGCCACTGCTGCCACTTCCTCTGCGTTCGCCTCCACCTCCACCTCCGTAGCTCTGTTCGTGTTCCGCTATTTGGCTTCCCCAATTTTTTTAGTATTTCATTTATAATTCTATGTTTTATTTACATATATCCTAAAAAAATAAAAAATAACATATCTCCAACGTGTCATGTCCTAGGTTTTTAGAAATTGACGTATCGCCATCTCCTATAGTGTCCGTGTTCGTGCTTCTGAGCTGGTAATCTATGCCAAAAGAATCTTCCTCTTCTTGCGAGAGGATTGTTGTGGCATTTTTCTTTAGAGCACAATTCCTTATGGCATGCGCCATGGGATGGTGGAGAGCAAATATTTCCTGTTTCAAACAGGTGACCACTAAGTAATAAAGGTTTCATGAGAGGCAGAAGTCCATAGAATTTCATTTCAGCCTTGGTCACCATTGTGGACAATCTTTGTTTTAAGTGATATCACTCCATTAACGACCATATCTTGTTAAATTATAGTTTATTTTATTTTAAAGGTTTCCTATTTTATTTAGGTTAGGGTTGGTCTTGTTAAATTATAGTTTATTTTATTTTAAATGTTTCCTATTTTATTTAGGTTAGGGTTTTATTGTCCTAATAGGTAAGTATTTCCTTATCCTAATAGGCAAGAATTTCTTTTTAGTTTCTTCTTTGTGACTGCTATTTATATAGCCTTATATCAATCATTTGGAGTAATTAAGCAAGAATTATTTTCTTTTCTTATTATTAACATGTCTATTTATAATTACTTTTTGATCTCAGCCAAGTGGAGAAACTCTAGAAATACATCAGGATGTGTGCAGATAAACTTGAGCAACATAAACATTTAATATACATGCATATAACAAAGTGGGGAAAACTTGATAAATGAATATCTTATTCTACATCAAAAAATTGTAGACAAATCACAAAAAATCATTGTAAAAGGAGTAAAAGAATGAAAATTACACAAATAAGATGTTTCTTATCTAAAAAAAAGAAAATTACACAAATAAGAAAGAAAAGTAAAAACAATAACACCCGTGGCAATGACCTACAAAAAATAATTCAAGCAACATAAAACTAGGGCTTGCAACAATGGGTGTTCTATGTTGCTATCAGCAAGAAAGAAGAGAGAGATGAGGAGGTCACTCAACTGGGGCGATTTTTTTTTGTTTAGTAAGAAACTACGCTTTCTTTGAGAAGAATGAATAAAGATACAAAAACAAGAAGCGCATACAAAAACAGTCCTGCAAGACGGAACCCCCTAAAGAAAAGGGCTCCAATCCAAAAGAATGATGCCAAACTGATAATTACAAAAGGTTTAACTGATAATTTTTTCCTTTTTTTAAACTAGGAGTCGGAACTCTGCTCCCCTATACGGCTATACCCAGACACTCGTGCCTATCCCAAGGCCCAAATTCAGAAGACATCAAGGGTTTTTGGTATTAAGCTCACCGGAAGGTTCGAACTTAAGACCTCTAAGCCGATATGGCCAAGAGACCCAAACCCTTGCCAACAAGACTGCTCAACTGGGAGAATATTTTTATATGAAATGTCAAATATGGAATAATATGCCAAACATCTAAGACACAAGCACCTCAGGAAGGTTTGCAAGAGTGTTTATGATTGATCCCTAGATACAATAGAGAGGAAACTTAAAATAGACCACGATGTAACTTGTGCTAGTGAAAACAAAATACTGTAGAAAATGACAACCATTCCGGGCTTGATGAAGGCTAAACCCACACAAACGTATTCAGCTCTAAAGTTATCAGTTATATTGTCATACAATGACTCCATTCCCAACAAAACAAATGCAAACTGAATGGAACAAATACATTAGAAGGCAGCAAAACAAAACATATTGACAGCATAACTATAAGAAAATACAATCGTTAATACAAAACTGACCTGTTATAACTTCCAATAATCTCGGCCTATGCCTAGATGATGTCGATTCTTTGTCCAACTTTGAGTCTATACAATTCAGAGACTCAAGGGATGAAGCACGCCAGAACCCTTTCCTTTCGGTTTTCTTTGGCGACAATGATCGATTTGAGGCATTCTGAGTTTCAATTTTCAGCAAGTGTTCTTGCAAGGCTTGAACAGCCTCTGCTGCATGAAGACCATGTAAGTCCAACTTCCAGAGCCCATTCTTAATATTCCTCGTCCGTAAAATTTCATTAGCTGCCTTATCATTTAACATTTTGGCAGCTAGCCATTGTTCTTTAGCCCTTGATGAATGATACTTGGCAGAGATATGGTCCTTCCTAAGATAGGCATTAGTGGCAGCCCTTGAATGTTGAGATGCTGACCTATTGATTACAGAAAATTAAGCAAGGCGTCAACTCCTTTACCATTGCTTGCATGAGCCATCTCCCAAGAACCAAATATGTTAAACTACATCCAAGAATAGAACCAAATGCACAACACTAGCACATTTATTGAATTACTAATTTTGAAAGATGAAGGTGTAAATTTGATAACCATTTCATTTTTTGTTTTTTATTTTTGAAAATTATGCTTGTTTTTTACAATTTTATTAGTAAATTTTCACCACTCTATAGAGAGCATATTTGAATTTTTAGCCAAATTTAAAAAAACAAAACAAATTTTTGAAAACTACTCTTTTTAGTTTTCAAAATTTGGCCTAAGACTTTGTGGTGTAGGCAATTTTGAGAGAAAACTAGGATTGTATTCAAGTGTAGGAAAAGTTACAAATGACCAGCTATTTATAGGAAATATCCTAGGGATAAGGGAAGAACTAACAACTTAACTATCTAACTAACTAACTAACTCAAAGCTAACTAGAGTAGTTACTTATAGTTACGTCACTTTGAAAACGTTTATAAAAACTATATAACAAAACAAAGGAATGTATAGGCAAAAGTAATGATTCTAAGTTTAATTTTTAGAAGCAGAAAACTAAAAACGAAATGGTTATCAAACAAAGTCTAAGTCATTAGGTCAAAAATAATTGTCAACTCATTAGTTTTTAATATTTCTTCTAAATGATCACAGAATTTAGTTTGATTAAAAAGCTTCACAAATTGACCAAGATATGGACTCAATATGTCCTTAACATGTCACCTTTCTACTAATCTCAAAAGCTTGAGCCATGAAATAAAGTTGGCTTATTCAAACATATAATTTTTTTTCTCCTTAGAACTCAAGAACACATAGGTACACCTATAGAAGAGATCCTCATATGTATAAATTCTTGAAAACATTCATCTCACACGTGGTAAAAATAATCAATAAATACAGAGAACCCCATAAGTATAGTGTGGAATTACAATTTACAACAGTACAAAAGAAGTATAAAATGAAAGGAAAAGAAAGAAAACCTAAGTTAAGTTTCTAGTACAACAATTTTATCAACAATACATATTAAGGGAAACAAACCAAGTTAAAGTAGAATAACAACTCAATTATTAAGTAGACAGAAGACTTATTTACCTTATCATTGATATAGCATCTTTCCGATGGCTCAGGTAAATATCATCTTCTTCCCACTCAGGCTCAATAGGAACGGAATTTGAGCAACCAAGAGATAGTTTTGGATTCCCAACATTATGAAAGAAATTTCTTTCACAATAATTATCTTCAATCAATTTTGTATCATCTTCATCACATGCAATATTATTTTGATGCACATTCTTAATTGTGGAACTGAGGATTGGAATATTAACAGTTTTTTCTAATGGTACACTCACATTGTTCTTACCACTGCAAGATATATCATTATAGGAATGCGGTCCTAAGGTGCTCATCTCATTATTGTTCTCAAAAGTTTCATTAGAAACCATAGCTTTTAATAAAATAGAAGCCTCGTTGATGTTATTATTTACAGCTTCCATTACATCCTCAATCAAGCGAAAATCAGCCCAAGAATGGAGCTCTTTAAGCTTCCTGAGGGCTAAAAAAATTTCTTCAATCACCTTCTTTCCACCTTGAATACTAGAATCTCCAAGTACTGTCTTCTTGGCACCAGAAGTTTCGGGCAAAGTTAGAGAATCTGCAGAAGGAAGGAGTGCAGATGAGAAAGGTCTCCCTGAACGACTATCAACTCTGTGCAAATTTCCATGGGGAGGCAGAGAGGAAAGAGTAGTTGATATTGGTGGGAATGGTTCGGGTTCAATTTCATCTTGAAGCCCTCTCTTCTGTTGCTTAAGGTTAACAGCAGCCCATCCAGAGGATTTACCCCTCACCCACGACATCTTCCAATGCAAAGAACTGAAAATAAAGCATATGGAGTTGAGCACTAGCAAATTATATTTCACACTCCAGACCTAGCTCTAACCCCCTCCTATTATGAATATGTCTTGAAGTTCCGATAATCCAATGAAACTGCAACTCGAAGAGGTAGCACAGCTGGAAGAAGCAGACCAGTTCATAACCTATAGAGAGCAATTATCAACAGATGAAAAAATGTGAAATTTACAGATTATGTAGTTGGCAATAACTTTGCCACGAGTGAGAAACTTCTTTCTCTATCTTTATGTAACTGGGTATTTGTCTTGGACGGAAAATAAGTCCAAAAATTAGCCAAACAGTTGATGCTTGAAATAAAATGGCAACATGTCCAGTTCGAACACAGATCCAAACATTAACATAAAGCCACAGCCGTCGGTCAAACATCTCAAACTCAATCATCTGTAGACTTCCAAAACGAGAAACACATACCAGCAACAAGATTACAACAAAAAGAGCATATCTAGTAAAAATTAAATGTTTATCCCAAACAAATGGGGGAACAAATAGAAGGGAAGAGAAAACAAATGAACAGAAGAAAAATACCTTAATAATCGTAGCTAGAAAGCAGCATAGATCAAACATGTAACCCAACCAAAAGAAAAAGTAACAAAAGAAACTACTCATACAAAATTCATAAGAATTCCTTTCAGGTTCGACGAGAGAATTAGGGTGCAAACCTGAAGGAGCCAAGAGAATCAAAACAGTAAAAAGATTGGACTCCCAAATCAGCTAGCTATAGCTACTTCTTCTCGCTATCTCAAATCCCCAACTCCGCCGTTTGTGCCTCTCCGGAATCGATTTTGGAAGCGGAAATGCGATGAAAAGAGAGAATTGCGACATAGATTGATTTGCAGAGCGATAAAGGAAACAGAGAAATCGGAAAATCTTGTCAGGGCACAGTTCAAGTTCAACCCTACCCCACATACTCAGATTGTTGACTTCGATTTCGTATTTCTTCCAAAGCAACAACAACACAGTCAAATTTCAACGAAGGGAAATTTCTTACTTTTTCATCTGTTCCTCCAGGATTCTATTTCTCTCTAGATCTGCAAGAGGTTCTTTTCTTTTCTTTTCTTTTTTTCTTTACTTAAGAAGGAAATTAAATGCTTGTTACTTAATTTAAATATTTGTTTTAATTTTTCAAAAATATTGATTTTTGCTTTACATTTTCAAAATTTAGACAAACATTTTCATGATGGTTAAATTACAGTTTTAACTTTAATTTTTATGGAAATTATGGACTAATCTTTATGGATTAAAATATCATTTTTATCCTCTCTGATTTTAGCTTTAGTTCCTATACTTTTAAATGTCCAAATTTAACCTCGAAATTTCAAAATTACTTTTCTCATTTTAGTTTGGAGATAATTTTAATCCAACTGCAAAATAATAATAATAATAAAATTTTAATCCAACTGCAAAATAATAATAATAATTTCCTAAAAAAAAACACTAGGTGAATATGTTTCTCAAATTTTTTAGATAGAAGTTTTTTATTTTTTATTTTTTTTATGGTTGATAGAGACTAAAAATAGAAAAAAAAGTTAGATATCCGTGAGTGTCCGAGCCAACTTACGCGTACCTCTAATCTCACAAGATAACCGTCTGATCCATAAGAATTACTAATTCTTAAGGTGAGGGATTTGAACTCATTCTCTCCTAATTAACCTTAGCCCATTTGGATCGATGGATCATTCATGATGGTTAAAATAGAAAAATTCTTAAAGTACAATGACCAAAAAGATATTTTATGTGTGATTATGGTTCTCAGACTATTCTATTCTTGATTGTCCATATTAAGTAAGGGTTGCATAGTTAGAAAAATCACAACCACAACTTCCAATCTATCTTATTGTTATAGACAATTATAATCTTCTTATGAATTTTGGTTTACTTGCTTAGATATTTTTCCTAGATTGTTCTTGAATTGTATGAACCTTTTTCTAGAATAATCATGATTATGATTTCTTTATTCTTTCCAATTATATGACATATTGTTTGTTCTCTAGTTTGATGTCTTTTATGATGTGTAATATGATAAAATAGTCAACCGATTCTTGAAGGTATGCAGTTTGGTTGTTCAATAAATTGCCTTCACCTCCTAGGCAAATCTCACTCGTTAGGTGCAATTCGCCTCATTTGGAGAGAGATTTCAACCAGGCGGATGAAACAAATTGGCTGAATGCAATAGCATCTTTAGCCATTTTAATAATATAGTATTAGATTAAAATGAAAATTATATAAAAACATCCAAATATGCATGCGAAAAAACTTTAAAATTATCATATGTTTATGTGAAAAATGGGACGAGGTGAGACCTGACCAAGGTCGGACACATGGCAGACTTGACTGGTTACGTCGAAGGAAGACCTGTACAAGAGGGGCAAACTCTTCGACGCTCAAGTCAATAAACAACTCGGACTCAATATAAAGTTCGAGGAGAAATTTGATACCTGGTACGGAAATGATGCTTTCTATTTATAGGTTAGGGATCCGACAGACCTTCCGACAGGCGGTTACCTATCTCGGAGGTCAGGTCGGTCATGTTGGAGAATCCTAGTCAAACCTGGTAACAAGTCGCGCATTTCAGATAGTCTTACCAGAAAGTTTATATTGTGATGGGGCCACCTCGGCCAGTTACGAGGTGGATTGAGAAAGAGATGTTCCCAAGCTCATTCCACATCCTCCACATGGTCTTAAGATTTTCACTCAAACATCATACTTGCAAAATCATATCATGTCGCTATATTTATAAATACGACAACATGAATTGTCTGCTACTAAAATTTCATGTGTATATATATATATTTTGTTAACTTTAGATTGTCTACGAGGGATGATAAAAGTTACTCGGAGCAATATGACCTAATAAAAGAAATTTAAAATAATTTGAACGAATTTGATGGTGTCCTATTTATGTGGGTAATATTGTCAACAAGTTGATAGTTTGTTTCCTATTGCTTTCTTATTATCGACACAATTTTTAGATTAGTCCAATCCTATCTTAATAATAATGAGGCTTAGATGGAAAAAGGCTTACTTTGAGGCATTATATTGTCCAACAAAAAAGGATTGGGAAGATAATAACACTTTTTTTGCAAACCCTTACATAGACTTTTCTTCGTCTAATCAAATTCCTAGATTTTGATCCAGTATAGCTAAACGGTAATCTCTTATTTGAGGTCGGAGTTCAAACCCTCATAACCCTAATTTGTCGTAGAAGAAAAAAAAAACTCTAGATTTTGTTATTAATAAATTTTGCAAAAGTTTTTTTCATTCATTTTTAGAGGTCGTTTGTTTTTCAGGAATGTAGATGTCCAGTATCTATAGAGTGTGGAATTTCAAATGTCTGAAATTTTAGATGTCCAACATAGTCATGTTTGTTTTGTAGGAAAATTTATAAATATATCTTACATACTCATGTTTGTTTTGCGAGATTTGTTATAGATTGTTCCAAAAAAATAAAATTTTTAGAATGTTTCTAAAAAATCAAAAACAAAAAACATAAATAATTATCAAATACTTAGGTAGAAACGATAACATTTCTTAATTATCACCCGCCTTAACAATCTCCTACTTATTTTTAGTAGGACCTGTAGAGGTGGGGGATCGAATTCATCATCTATTTGTTAGAGATATATGTCAATTACCGTTGAGCTAAGCTCGTTTTGACACCTGACGATCTCCTACTTAGATCATTAGAGTCACTTTGACAAACATCATATTAATGTTAGTAAAAAATCTACGAGTCTCTATTTTACAAATCGTCGGAACCCACCATACAATCGTCAACATCTCCACAATCACCTCAATCAAAATTTTGCGACAAAGAAGAAACTTTAATATACAAAAACTTGTTTAATTTAAATTTTAAGATTGAAACTAGAAACTTCAAATTTGTTTAGTCTTTTATTTAGAGATAAAAAAGCCTAAACCATAAATAAATAAAATATTAACATGAACTTATCTCAATAGTTAAGATATCTCACTCTTTCTCCATATTTTTTGACTAAAATAATTCACTGAATTTTAAATTTATGTCTAATAATTTCCTGACCTTTAAGAAGTTTATAATATATCCCTAACTTTCAACTTTACGTCTAATAGATGCCTAAGCTTTAGAGAATTATCCAGTAAGTCTCAAAAATTTTAATTTTGTGTTTAATGGTCTTGGACTTTCAATTTTGTGTCTAATACGTTCTTTTAGAAAATTTACGAACCTGTTATATACGAAACTGAAAGTTTAGGGTCCTATTAAACACAAAATTCAATTTTATGTCTAATATATTTGTTAATTTTTAAATCTTTTAAAGTTCACATAGGCATTAGATACAAAATTAAACACATAGAGGTTTAGTGGCAGAATTCATTCGGTAACGTTCATATTTCTTGTTTGTGTTTCTTCATTTTAAGAAATATAAACTTTTGGTAACTATTCCTATTTTTTGTTTCTATTTTTAAGAAAGGTTTCCAAAATTATATAGAAATTCTAGAAACAACAACATAATCTTGTTTCTAGTTCCCATTTCTATTTTCCCCCAAGATATATTAAAAAAAAACATTACTTTGTAACTATTGACTTATAAAATGTTTAATAAATATAAGATACAAAGTTTTAATATTTAATTTAAAAAATTAATTTTTATATAAAAAATGTACTTGTTTTAACTTTATAATTTAGCAATTGGAAACAAAAAATTATTATGAAACATATTTATGTTTCATTTTTTTATATAAAAAAAAGAATAACAAGAAATAAGAAATAATTAACCAACACTATTTATTAAAAAAGAGGTAACAAAAAATAAAAAATCAAAACAAAAAAATCAAAGGAGTCCTTAGAAACTTGGAATTTTCATAGTAAATAAATTTGAAAAAGAAAGAGAAAAAAAAAAGCATTCAAGTAGAGGGGTATAGTTGCAATTTCAGAAGCGAATGCACGTTTGAGAAGGGCCAAGTGACCATCCATGTCCATTGGAAGCCATTACTTCTCATCAACCATTAAATAACTCAAAATTAGTTCTTCTCGTTTACCCTTTAATCCAATCATTATCCCAAAGAAAAAAAAAATCACATTTTCCATTTTCCCCAATTTTCCCGTTCTTTCAATCTTTCATTTTCGATTGCTCCCCTTGCTTTTTCACCTTTAGGAGACAACAAAGCTCTGAAACGAGGTAGCCCACCTGCTGCAATTCGCCATTTCTCCCTTTCTTTTCGTCTCTTACCTCAGTTTTTTTTCCCTCCATTTCGTCTCGCTGCGAGCTGCTCTAGCCAACGGATGCATGGAGTTTCTAATTTTTTAGTTTCTGTGAAGGATTTTCGTGAAATGGTTTTCCTCTTTGATCCGGTTGTGCCGTAATTCGCCTGTTTGAAGTCTCGCAGGTAAGATGGGTCTTTTTTTTTTTTTTTTCTTTTTGGTTCTTTTAATTGTGAATTGTACGTCAATTATTTACATGAATGTCTTTATGATTTTCGAATGATGTAATTTCTTGATTGGTTATGGAAATCTAGTTCCTATTTACTTCAAATACGAGCTTGTGCGCTCTTCTCATGAGTGGCGATGTGGGCTTTGTGGGTTTTAGTCTGATTTTGGAGGAGACTGGATTCTCCGTGGCTCTTCTGGTTTTCGAGAGTTTGATTGATGCCTGTGCCTTTTTGGGCTGGATTTTCGAGAAATTGTTTTGGTGAAAATGAAAAATCTCTGGTTCTGAAGTAAATGAAGGAAGGACGGTGTTACAATAAAATCTGTTTCAGTAAATGCCAATGGTTGGAATTTGGTTCTTTAGCTGACGGCTCTCTGATAGTGAGAAGATTGTATTCGTTATTTTCCAATTCTTGCTAATTTATAGGGGTTTATGTGAGGAAGGAATCGAATAATATCCTCAACATGTGCCTCCAAGGGGCAGTCCGATTGGCAAAGACTTGAGGTCTCTTAGTCATACAAGCTTAGAGGTCTCAAGTTCGAACCTTCCGATGAGCTTAACACTAAAAATTCTTGATGTTTCCCGGGTTCAAGCCTTGAAGCAGGAATGATCATCAATCTCCCTTATTGCAGTTGATAATTGGAAAAATGACGATTTCTAACATTATAGTTGGTGATATCATTGTCGAAAATAGGAAGGACTGAATAGCCATTGGTCTATTTGTCAAAGCCATTAATTCTGGAATTATAAATTTATTCAAACTATAATTAGCTTTGAAACAAACTTTTCTTGTGAACCTATAATTATAAGTTAATTCTTTGGTTCTATTATGAAATAACTCATTTCACTACAATCTGTTTGCTTAAGAGTTTGGTCTACTAGTAAATAAACTCGACTAGTTCTAGGGATCCTTGATTGTTGGTTCTACTGCTGAAGAGCTTCATTTGCAATGCCTATTCTCTTAAGTTTGGGGATGGTAGCTGGGTTTCCTTTAGGAATGATCCAATGAAGGGATGTCATTGTTTCTGAGAGAATTTTCCAGGTCCTTTATCCTTCCCAGATGGTGGACAAAATTGTAGGTTTTCTTGTAAGTGTGAAGTAAAAAAAATAAAAAAGGGACATTTATCCCTCTTTTTGCCATTCCTGACAATATCATTCTCTTTGTAAAAAGGGTTTGTAAGATCAGAGACATTTATTCTTTTTATGCAGTTTCCCATGAAAGATTTGGGTCTTGATCTTCAATTGTTGTAATTTCCAGTGGTGTCTTCCAAACAACATTCAGAAATTCTTGCTACAGTTGTTTTGTGTCAGGGCTTTGAGAAGAAACCTAGGGTTCTATGGACAAGTTCTATTTCCTGTTTGGTTGTTGGAGCTTTGGTTGGACAATAATAGGTGCATTTTTAAGGATAAGCACAAGAGTGAAGAGGAAGTTCTTGTTATCGTGCCTTCCTTTATTTCTAGATGATTAACTTTATTTAAACATTTTTAATATAAATTAATTGGAGATTCAAACTCCATGATGGCCACCTACCTATGAATTAATTTTCTATTTGTTTCCTTGGCAACCAAATGTATTTGGGTTAGGTGCGTGCTAGCTGGTCAGGACACTGTATAATAAATATATATAAATTAATTGGAGGATTTTTATAATTTTTTTTGGCTATGATAGGAGAAGTTTTTGTCCTCCTTTCTGCCTGTTTGTATTTCCATTCTTTAGACTCTTGAAGTGTAAATTGGAGGTAGATTGAATCGGGCAGTTCGACTTAGCCTGAGTGAGCAAGGGTAGGGCGAGATTTCGGCTTTGGAAATTGAGGTGAGTGGCGACCTGCACAAAGAGAGAAAAGACACTAGTGTGGTATACTTTGATACTTAAGTCAGGGTTTTTAAGCTATGTACGAGTAAAGAATAGTGAGGTGAAATTGTGTCCCCAAAATGGTTGCCACTAGGGATGGCAACGGGGTGGGGCATAGCCGGGGGGGCCATTCCCATCCCCGCCACGTTGGGGATTTTTTCGCCCATCCCCGCCCCCGTCCCCAAAATTTTGGGGGCGGGGACGGGGCGGGGATTCCCCGATCGGGGACAGGTTCCCCTATTTATAACTTTTAAATTTAATTTAAATTTTTTTTAATTAATTTTTGTTATTATTAGTATAAAAAGTGAACAAAAAGTTGCTAAATGAGGTGTTAGCTTGAGTTTTTTTTTTAAATTAAAAAGTATTTATAAAATTAATATATATTAATATTATTATATAAAAAAATAGAAAAAGTAATAAAAAATTAAACGGGGCGGGGTTGGGGATGGGGACGGGGCGGGGACGGGGCGAGGGGACCGATCCCCGTCCCAGCCTCGTCCCTGCCGGGGAACCCGATTGGGATCCCTGGTTTGACCCCGTCCCCGGTCAAACCGGGGAATCCCCGACCCTGATCGGGTCGGGTACCCGCGAGGATCAGGTCCCACGGGTATTTCTGCCATCCCTAGTTTCCACCTCCCATATTTATAGGCTTATGGGGATGGTACCTCCGTAGGCATGTGGATTTGGCCCTTTTGGTGATATGGCCGACCTAGGGTCAGCTCGGTTTGTTTTTAAGGCTGGGTGGATCTATTCCCACAAGAATTGTGAGCTCTAATAGGCTTGTCCATCTGGGGAAGGACTGCCAAAGAAGATTAAATTTTTCGTGTGGCAGTCTTACTTGGTAAAATCATTACTTGGATCGTATTCAGAAGCATTCTTCTTCCTGTTTGGGGCTGCAATGGTGTATTATTTGCAAACAAGACTCTGAGGATCTCGATCACATCTTATGACATTGCAACTTTTCCTAGAAGATTTGGAGCAGTTTTTTTGAGATTTTCGAAATTTCTTGGGTCCGTCATAGAGATTGGGGGGAACGGTGGAGGAAGTGCTGTTGTCTTCTCCTTTCTGTGAGAAAAGGAAGGTTTTTATGGCAAACTTGTTTCTTTGCGATTTTGTGGGAAATTTTGTTGGAAAGGAACAACAAAATTTTTAGGGGGTGGAGAGGGATGGCGAGGCAGTTTTGGATCTCATTAGATTTAATGTTTCTTTATGGAAATTCGTTTCGAAGTTTTTTTGTAATTATCAGTTAGATTATATTCTTTTGGATCGGAAGCCCTTCTTTAGTTAGGGCTTCCCCTGACGAGCTTTTGTTTTTGTATGCTCGTGTTTTTGTTCTCTTTTTCATTTATCTTAATGAAAAGTGCAATTTCTTGTAAAAAAAAACGTGGTAACACCATTCTAAGCTGGTTGGTTCCACATTGGGGTGGCAGTCCGAGGGCCAGTTCGGGAAAAGCCAACCTTTCCCGTTGCTCTGTCTTTGGGGTTGGCATCCCTGCCTAACCAACCTGGTGAGTTTCGGCACCTTGGTTGTCCTGAGATTAGCCCAACCTGCTTTTGGGGATGCCATGGGCTCTTGTGGTCCCATGCCTAGCTGGCAATTGGCCCGCCTTGAAGGGTCACGAGCTAGGGGGAGGTCGGCCTTCCCCTGCTACTTACCCTTGGCAGGCCTGCCTCGTGCATGCGCCTGGGATCCCTTTCTCAGGTCGGTCAGTCTCTAGCTCTACCCCCCACTTAGACATTTTTGTATCTAATAGAAAAGAAAATATTTTTTATGGTTACACTCCTCCCCATTAGGCATCTTTGATCTATTAAGATCAAATGAATTCTCAATCTTCTTCCTCCTAGAGTTTCAATGGAATCTCAACTACCCCTTCACATGCATCCAATAGTGAATAATGAGCCATCTGGATATTGCAGAAGCCCATTCTAGAAGAAAGCTTAAAGTCAGATTCTTGACAAGTTATTTTCATTAGAGGAGATTCTTGGTTCAACGATTTTTTAAATTTGCTTTGGTTGGTTTGGTTGTCTTTAATTTAAGCAATCTTCATTTTCTTCAAAGCTTCAAAAAATCAAATTCATCCAAAGTTATCTGTATTTCGGCTGCTGATATTCTCTGGAGTGTTGTTACTGCTTATTTATGAATTTTGCCTTCTTTTCTCTCCTGTTTTCTTTGTTCTCTTTCATCTTTTCTCAGTGAGAGCTTGGTTTATTATAAAAAAAATTATACATATATCGTCTTTGTGAGGAGCTTATATTTGAAACTTTGTGTGAGGAGCTTATATTTGAAACTTTGTGCTTGTCTGTCGCTCATTTTGTCACATATCCTTGAAATCAGGACAGATGGGAACAGCCTCTGTACAATGTCTGATTAACAGTATTTCCAGATTCATTCATCTAGTTTCATGCCAAACTACGAAGCCTTTGCCTCTTCCGAAGGGTTGCAGAAATCTCTCTGTTGTCCTAAAGCTTTTGAAACATTTGCTTGATGATGTCATTAGCCTCAAACTGTCTTCAGATGAGTTACTTTACAGAGAATGTGAAGCACTGGATATAGCTGTTAATGAGGCTCGGGAGTTTGTAGAAAACTGGTGTCCTAAGATGAGCAAAATTTGCAGCGTGAGTTACCTCGAGAATCAGCTTTCTTATATTCCTTTTTTTTTCTTGGTTTCTACTACTTGTAAAATTTAGTAACTTCTCTTGCATGCATTTATGGAACTGGCCAAGCATTTTCTGCTAGCGGCTTGTTTGATTTCAAGAGCAAGAAATCAAACACAATTTCTGAAACGTGTGTATAATAATTCTAATCGTATTATATGCATTTTCGATCCCATTTTGCTATCTTTTCTACAAAATGTTACCTTTTTGTAGAAAAATAAATGGAAAATTAAAACATTTTACAGTTTGAAAGTATAGTTGTATAGTTTGTCCTTTATGGCATTGAGTAGACCCTTTCATCTTATTAATTTTGAGTTAATTGTCCTTTTGTTTTGTGTGCATCTTAGGCTTTGAAATGTGATCCACTCCTCATAAAGATTCAAAACTCTTCACAAGATATTTGTGAGAGTGTTTGGAAGTTATCGGAATCAGTATCCTGTAGCTCAAGTCTAAATGCTATTCAGGTATGTACAAATATGGGAACATTTATGGCACTTTTTATTTTATTTTACTATTTTTAAAAAAGGTTAAATTACAACTCCAGTCTAAAAACTCTGAGAATTATGTCTATACTAATAATTATAAGTCTATAATTTTCAATTTTCAATGTTGTGTCTAATAGGTCTCTAAATTCTAAAAGGTATCTAGTAAGTTTCTAAACTTTCAATTTTGTATCTAATAGATAATTGAAGTTTAAAAGGTGTCTGATAAGTAAAGGATCTATTGGACACAAAATTAAAAGTTCAATGATCCAATATAGACAATTTTTGAAGTTCAAGGATCTATTAGACATAACATTGAAAAGTTGGAGGACTTTTTAAAGTTTAGAGAATTTTTTCCCCTATGAGAAACTGGCTTTCATTGGAAAAAAAAGAAAGAAATAGTATACAAGTGCATACGATAGCCCAACAAAAGGAACCAGTAAAAAAGCTAACTAGCTATACAAAAATGACGCAACCTTGAAACCTTGGAGACCGAACTTACTATTAAAATCTTTTAAAAATGACTAAGCTTTTTGGAGTAGTGAACATTTAGCTCAAACTTTTTCTCACTTAGTTTGAAATGTTAGTTCTCTTAATTTTGATGCATCTTTTGTCGCAGTATCTGGTAATTTGATAAGAGCGTCATTAACATCTGATGAACTTTTCAGAATTGTCTTGAAGGCCTTCAATCATTGAAGCAAGAAAGGATATCTGAATGTATTGAAGAGGCTCTAATTAGTCAAAGAACTGGTGTTGGCCCTAACTCTGAACATCTTTTAAAAATTGTCGAGTCGCTTCATTTGATGTCAAATCAAGAACTTCTGAAGGAGACTATAGCTGTTGAAAAGGAGAGAATTAATGCTGAACGCAATAATGCGACGGAGGACCTAGATCACATCAACCAAATTATGGATCTAATTATCCGTATACGAGATTGGATGGTTAGAAAGGACTACTTTCATGGGATAAATGGAGTCTCAGTTCCTTCGTACTTCCGCTGCCCCTTGTCATTGGAGCTGATGCTTGATCCAGTAATCGTTGCATCCGGCCAAACTTATGACAGGTCCTCCATTCAAAAGTGGATTGACAGTGGGCTGACCATTTGCCCCAACACTCATCAGACGCTCACACATACAAATCTCATTCCCAATTACACTGTTAGAGCTATGATATTGAGTTGGTGCGATGAAAACAAATTGAATATTTCCAATCTATCATCGTTGGTTCAGTTGTCTCAGCAGGATCTGAATCGAAGTGATAGCTTTCGTTATTCTTTACATGGTAGTAATTCAACTGCAAGATCATCTCCAGATGTTGAAAATAGATCTGACAAGCAAAATGGGGATGTTTTTGCTAGTTTAATTGGGGAAAAATCAAATGAGAGTAGGAGGAACGGAACAGAAAAGTTTGACCACTCTTCCCCTCAGCAGTCATATGTCTACAGCAGGAGTGTATCAGCCTCCAGTGCCTTCTCTAGCATTGATTATGTTCCATCAGCACCTAATGAGTTGATGAAGATATCAAATAAACACGAATACATAAAGGAATTATCTGGAGAAATCACATCAGAACTTCCTGCTGCATCTCATAACGAAATATCGGGATTTACATCATCATTAGGAGGTGGACAGTTACAAGCTTTCAGAACAGAAACAGGAATGGTGGAGAATGAAAACTGTAACGGTACAATGGATAACTCAATTCCAGTTCTGGAATCTGAATCTGATAACTCGACTGCAACTTTACGTGTTAAGAAATTAATTGCAGACCTCAAGAGCCAAAGAGATGAAGTTCAGATGAAAGCTGCAGAAGAATTAAGACTTCTTGCCAAGGACGATGTAGAGAACCGTATTATCATAGGTCAATGTGGGGCTATAGGCCCATTACTTTCGCTGTTATATTCTGACAGAAAGGTGATACAAGAGCATTCTGTGACAGCTCTCTTAAACCTGTCAATTAATGAAAATAATAAAGCCATGATTGCAGAAGCAGGAGCAATAGAACCACTCATTCATGTTTTGAGGACAGGAAGCCCTGCTGCTAAAGAAAATTCTGCAGCAACTTTATTCAGTCTCTCTGTATTAGAAGAATACAAGGCCAAAATTGGTCGGTCTGGTGCAGTTAAAGCCTTGGTGGATCTCTTAGGAGTGGGTACTCTGAGGGGAAAGAAAGATTCAGCTACCGCTTTATTCAACCTATCGATTTTTCATGAAAATAAGGCTCGTATAGTTCAAGCAGGAGCTGTTAAGTACCTTGTTGAGCTACTGGACACTGCTACAGGTATGGTTGACAAGGCTGCTGCACTTCTTGCTAATTTATCGACAATTTCAGAGGGTCGATTAGCAATCGGGCGGGAAGGGGGCATCCCCTTGTTGGTAGAAATTCTTGACTCTGGATCTTTGAGAGGAAAGGAAAATGCTGCATCCATTCTGTTGCAACTTTGCCTTCATAGTTCCAAGTTTTGTACTTTGGTTCTCCAAGAAGGAGCAGTTCCACCCCTTGTTGCCCTATCTCAATCTGGCACACCTAGAGCAAGAGAGAAGGTATCTATTCCTTCATTTATATATATATATATATATATATATATCAAAATTGTTTACAGAAAATGTGCTTCACTTATAATACTTCTCTCAAAAGCATCCGAAACGCGCCCTTACTTTTTGTTTATTTTGTTCATTCCATTCTGAAATCCTCTCTCCCTAGTCCCTACTAAGTTATACCGTCTATTCAAAGATTATAGTTTAGTTTAATGGTATATACTGATTAAATATGTGAAGTTATAATGAACAATCTAAAATGGTAAATGCTGGTTTCCTCCTATGTTTTTGAACTGACTTAGAACTATATAAGAAACTCGGTCATTTTATTCGATGTCAGCACAAGAATGATGCGAGTGAAGAGTCGAAAGGGAGGAGAATGATATACGTGTTTATATTTTGCAGGCGCAACAACTACTCAGCCATTTTCGGAATCAAAGAGATGTATGCACAGGGAAAGGAAAATCATAGGAAGATAACTTTCTGGATTCGTCATTACTATTGAAGGGTATTATAATCGCTATCAGTTTCTTCACAAATAATTGTGTAAAAGAGACTTAAATTCTTTAGTTATGAAATTATATCTTCAGCAGTTGCATCTTATGTTTGTGTGCATCAGGTGTTTTTTCTTTCCTCCCTAGAATTCAAAGTGAGGAATGGATTGTAAATGTAGGATTTCTGCTTCTCCATATCTTTGTTTTGTTCTGTTTTTCCATGTTTTTGTTGGAATCTAGAGTTTTAGATTCTGGATTCTGTTTTGCTTTGAGGTTGGCCAGAACATAGTATGAACAGTTCAAACTGGCAGAGGATTTAGGAGGATGTAGGCTATTGGTTCTGATATGATGAGTGTTGTACATATAATGTAGATATATTGTGGACTCCCCCCATTTAATTTTGCTATAGATTGCTATTTATTTATATGATCCATCATTTTTATGTTTTTTTTTTCTAAATATCTTAGTCTGTCTTATCCAGGAGTGTTCGAAAAATCCGATGATCCAAAAAAATATGATCAATCCAACCCAATACGTACAGTTTGGGTTGGATTATAAACTTGTTTGGGTTGAGTTCAAATAAATGAAAACTCTATGAGTTAGGTTGGTTTAAGGATTTACCTAAAATCAATTTGGTTGATCCAAACTTCTTTGCTTTTTTTGATAACTTGAAGTCGGAATTTTGCTCTCCTATACCCGCTCCAAAGCCCAGACTTGGAAGACATCAAAGATTTTTGGTATTAAGCTCATCAGAAGATTCGAATTTGAGACTTCTAAATCAGTATAATCAAGAGGCCCCAAATCCTTGCTAACTAGACTGCCCCCGGGGGCGAACCAACTTGAACTTATTATTACTTCTAAAACCGTTCCTTTTACTTATCATAAAATTATATATGGATATGGTTATTTTAATTTTATTTCATTCAATCATTCTTTCTTGATTATTTATTCTCTAACAACTTTTGAAAATGACTTTGGAGGGTAATTTTTCACTATATAAACATTGACCATCGAATCTTGATTGAAAAGGTTAGAGAATATATCAAAAAATGTTTGTGATATTTGCATTTACTTTTTTTTAATATTGTACAATATTTTTAATTGAGTAACTCGAATAATACGAACTAACTCAACCCAAATATTTTATGGTCAGAATGAATTTGATTTATTTAATAAATTTATAACTCGAACCATTAGGTTAGGTGTTAACAGTATTTCAATCGAATCGAACTCATGCCTAGTCTTTATCCCGAGAGGATAAATGAATGACAATATCTTCAACAACTCCACAAAATTTTTTGATTTGTTTCTGTTGATTATTTCTTGGTGCAAATTTCATCTCCCTTGTCAAGCTGTAGTCTTCGTAATCTTAAAACTAATTGAAAAAGCCTTTTGTAACTCTCTTAGTAGGGACCTCTATATAGACTTGTAGAGTTTTCCTTTCCAATGTTTCATATCATTAATAAAATATTCTTTTTCAAATGGAAAAAGAAAATATTAGCTGCTGCATAATGTTTACAAATTTGGTCCTATTATTTGTACAAGTTTGAATTTAGTCCTTGTAATTTTTTTAAAAGCATCAATTTAGTCCTTATAATTTAGACTTCATTTGAGTTTGGTCTATATGGTTTGGATTTAGTTTCAATTTAATCGCTATGAATTCAAATTTCAATTTAGGCCCATGATTTAATCAAAATTCACTAATCATCTTTACCGATGTCATATTAACAATTTGTTCCACATATCAGTTTTTTTTTTTTTAGGTAATTGCATCAATTGAGTGCATTAGAATTTAAGGCGTTTAACTAAAAATAGAATGAAATAAAATACCAGAGGTTGTTTCACGAATTTTTTTTAATTTTTTTTAATGTTTCACATCTATAATTATTTTAGTGACTTGATTGAGGATTTTTACATATCAAGAATAAATTTAAATCTCATTTCAACACCTAGTATTAGTATTTGTTTGTCACTGTCAAAAAATAATCATTTTAATTTTTGTTATTCTTGTGCCACTTAATATTCACTCATCCAATACCAATCTCGACTAACTTGTGGGTAGAAATCCAACACATGTCCACACCAACACGTTAATAAACACATTCAAACCACTTTATACATCCATTAAACAGTTGCCAATAGAATAACCTACAAATAAAAATAGTTATAAAATAAACTTTTGAAAAATTTAAGGTCTACAATAAAATAATCTCAAAAGTTCAAATACTAAAATGAGACTTATACTCAATTTATGAGATGATAAAATATGTTAAAACTCGTACCAAGAATCAGTTCACGTAGAAATGGATGTGCTCACATAAAAGTAAACATATAATACCAAAGGGCTCATGTTCAAGCTAAGTTTCAATAATACAATTGTGACTGTTACAAATGTATGGATTAGGTAATTTCTTGATCATCTGCCAGTACAAGGGTACAAAAAGAGGTACACCATTTACCGCTCTAGATGCTATTCGGATAGTAGTGTATCAAGGTATGCAAACAGCAGATGATAAATCAGAAACTTCTTAAAAAAATACAGAAAAACTGAAAAATAGCACGCACATATTAAACCAATATAATAAAGATCACAATAATTTCCCTCCTATTCATCTTCTTCAGTATCCATCCAACTCAACCTTTATCAAAATAGTAACTAAAATTCTTCCCATTTCTTTCTCTATTTTCAAGTTGTAAAACTCATCTTCACCAAAAACAAAAAGAGAGGAAAATGAAGTGCGGCACTTCCACACACAGAAAAAACATATATATATATATATATATATATATATATAGTTGCAACTCAAAAGATTCCAACTCTAATTTGATTTTGGTGAGAAGTACATACAAGTATCGAAGAGGCCCCCAAAAAAGACCCTCCCATCATCTCAATAGTTGAATGAAAAGGAAACGGAATTTTAGTCATCATCCTCTGGATCAAAATCCTTGATCTTGACATCTGCATCCTCACCGTACTGAATGCAGTTGTCAATTTGAGCCAAAACATATCTTATACTGTGTTTCAGAAGAACAAACAATATCATATCAGCTAACAGTAAAATCAATTCAAATGAACTGAAGAATTAATCTATAAACCAATGGTAAAAAGAAGTATGAAGTCGATGAGAGGGAGAAAGAGTTCTATCTGGAAAATTTCTTGTCATGTCATGTCATTCTATTTCCAGCCGTTTATTCAAAGGACTGGGAGACAGTCATAATAAATTTTAAGACTATAAATGTTCCACTTTGATTTCGACCAATAACAATTTTACAGCCAACTAATAGCAAGATTATATTATTGTTCTGAACCCGTAAGGGCTACAGGAACTAGTTGAATACTACTCTAAAAGAAAGAAGCACAAAAACAGCCACAACACAACACAAACTTAGTAATTCGTAGTTTTCTGAAAAGCTGATATAGACACGTCAAAGACACATTTATTAAAGGTTAAATTAAAATTTTAGTTCATGAAAGGTCAAATTTATATTTAGTCCTTCGCAAAATGCATCTACCAAAACCTCCAACTTAAAATTAAATGCATCTAACAAAACCTCTAACTTAAAATTTTATGTCTAATAGGTACCTGAACTTTAAAAGGCATCTAATAAGTCCCTAAACATTAAAAGGTATCTAATAGGTCCTTAAACTTTAAATAAGTATCTAATAGGTTCCTAACACTTGTTAGAACAATAATTTAAACATCAGGTACCTATTGTGGTAACAAGGGTTAGAAGTTCTTCTACTGAGAGCTTGTCCACAATGCAATCAATAACACACGAGACTTGATACAAAAGAAGCATCCCCACTTGACCATCTCCCGAAGCTGCTGTATTTTATATTTAAAAAGATGCTGAGACACATGGACATTTATTCATCACAAGCGATTTTACTGCTGGTTTTTTTTTCTTTTTCTCTTCTGATAATTAGGAGTTGGAGCTTTGCTCCCCTATGCCCAGGGGCACACCATGCCCACCCCAAAGCCTGAACTCGGGAGAAATCAAAGATTTTTTTTGTAAGAAGCACACCTGAAGATTCAAAATTAAAACCTCCAAGCCGGTATGACCAAGAGATCCCAAGTCCTTGCCAACAAAGCCGCCCGTGGTTTGTAGACTATTGGGCCTATTATTCTCTCTTTAGTTTTTGGTTTTGTACTTAACACATTCTTTATTTCCAACAAAAGGAGCAAAACTAAAGTAATGGGTTCCAATCAAGCTAAATCAAAAATAACAAGTAATTACAAAAATCTTTGGACCGATGCCCAAAGGGAAATGTGAAACCGAGCAAGAGCCTACACCTCCTCCTAATATAATTGTGTTTGTATTTCCCATTTTGAAAAGATGAAAAGAACTAAACCTGTACAAAATAAAAACATAGCCAAACAAGGCTAAATGGACCGACTCCAGAAAACTTCATTCCATTTATGAACATCAAACATGATCAGAAAAAAATTAAAAAAAAAATAAAAGATTAAAATTTTAGGCAATAGTGTAATTGTTGAAATGGGAACACGATCATCAAACATCCAGAAGTCTTAAATTATTTATTAAAGCAGAGGCTGTTCAGTTCACAACGGCAAACAATGTAATGATGTCCTAAAAATAAACAGCTCAAATATCATAAAGTTTACTATCAGGACGTTACTTATTTGCTCATAAAATTTCCAGTTTAACTTTAAACATCAAAATCATGAGTATCTATAATGATCTTGCTAATCAGGGTATACAACAGACAATCAAGTATTGTGGTAAACTACAAGAGTGCACACAGAAAAATGAGTACCTGCTTTCCTTCCTCAAGTCAAGTGGCACAAAGCTGACCATGTTATATTCGTCCACCTAAAATAATAAATAATCATCACAAAAGAATATAAATGGGAATGTTAATGTGCACAATAATTGAAACTTTGAAAGTATCTTGGATGGTCTTTACAAGTATAATAATAAATTATCGCCTTCCAATCTAACAGAAATATGATTGATTTATTTACACTAAAACGCAAGTACTTTCTTCAAGAAAGACAAAACCCCAGTGTCAGCCAAAACCATTAGAAGTGACTACCTACTTTTGTAGGAAATCTATTGGTTTCGTATTAAACTAATAATTATTATTATAGAAAATTTCAAAATTAAAAAAAATAAATACACTGTAGGAGACATATAAACTTAAAACGTATTCTTTTGATTATGACTGCAAACGTGACTTCTCAACCATGCACCTGAAACTTGAGTAATATAAGAGAAATATATAAATTGCTCACCAGTTCAATTAGAGCTTTATTTAGCTTTGAAAATTGTGGAGCCATACGCTGGTTCAACTCTGATAACAGAACTTGAGGCTCCGGATTTAAGAAGCTAGAGAGTTTAAAAAGTGGATATTTACAGGATTAGGCTCCGGATTTAAGAAGCTAGAGAGTTTAAAAAATGGATATTTACAGGATTAGAGCAAGTTAGAAAATTACAAACAACGAAAACAGAACAGAATGGTAATAAGTTCATGATGCAGTGGTTATAGGAGATACATACTCTTCAATATCCTTTTTGTTAGTCACAAGATCCATTTTGGAGAGGATGTTAATATGTGGTAGTTCAAGTTGAACCATTGCTGAAAGAGATGCCATACAGCCACTAATGAACTTTGTAATATCTGTCATGAACTGATAAATAGAGCATTTGCCATTATAAGTTTAAAGAATGGACCAAGGCATTGTTGGGGTGATATAAAGTTATGATCAAAAGGAGGAAGTGACAAGTAACAGGTCAGTGTAATTTACAAACCTGAGAATCAAGCAAATACACGGCACAGACATTGAAATTTTTTCGCTTTAAATGCTCCACAAAGTTTTTAAGAACTGGAACGTGGGAAAAGAGCTCTATCTGACCTACATAATAGTCAAAAGTGATAAATATTTATTACATACTTCCAGCTCAAAAAAGAAATTATATTTCACGTCAAATAGTAACTTCAGTAGGTAAGATCTGTTTCATAATAAAAACATTGCACGTCCTAGGAACATTTTCCTTCCTACCAAAGCAGAAAATGAATACACACGTGATTCATTGTATGTGAAGCAATATGAGCTCAAGTTGTTTTCTTATTTTCTTATTTTCTCTTTTCATGTTGTCAGTACATGTTACCTATAGATACATCATGTGAAAATTTCCAATAAACTATCTGCTGTAATCTTTTCCATTGAGGTTAAAAATGAACAGATTATTTATTATAGGTGTAAGCGCTTCAGTGCAATGCTCACAAAGAAAGCTCTTTCACATGTACATTCAAGCAGTCAGTCATGGTTGGCTTATTTGTGGAACGTTAACCTAAGAATAGCTTGGTCTCCATCTTGAAGACAATTCGACCTCTCTATATTTTGGAGCAACCAGTCTTTGATAAAATGTGAGGGTTGGAAGAGAAGTTTTTCTTGGAGGAGAGACCAACGTTAATCACTTCTCTTTTTCGAAATCTTTCTTGAACTTCAAAACAAAAACCTATGAATTCGCTGTGGAAATTTGGGACAACTTCTTGGAGGTCCAGATGGCTTGCAACAGGTTATGCAAGGGAGGAGATCTAATTCCATTGTCCATTTTGAGAGGGATTGATCTTTGGAACGTAGATTTCTTTGTGATCTTTATAAAATATCTGATTCAGAGGAATAGGAGGGTCTGTAGAGATGTGGAGAGCCCTCAGTTTGGGCCATGGCTAGGTTCAAGCCTCCATTTGGGTCTCAGCTACTGATTACACTTGTCCCTCATTATATTGAATTAGAGCTATTTTTGTAGTTGTGTAGTTTTTTGGCCAGGCCTTTTGGTTTTTGATCTTTGCTCCTTTTGTCTTGGGCTTTCCTTTCTTGAATTGCCCTTGTGTATCCTTTTATTTCTTCTGAATGAAAGTTGGTTTTCTCATTAAAAAAAATAATAATAATAAAGAGGATTGAATGAATTACAAACAATTTTTGGAGAAGAATAACTTGGAGTTGGAATACCCTGGGTCAGGCGCACCTGACCCAAGACTCAAATCTAGGAGATACCAAAGATTTTTAGTATTAATCTCATCGAAAGATTCGAACTCGAAACCTCTAAGCTAGTATAATCAAGAGACTCTAAGCCCTTACTAACTAGGCTGCCCCTTGGTTTTTTTTCTTCGATCCTTTCGTGTTGGCTTTCCTTTTTTTGAATTGCCCTTGTGTATCCTTTTATTTCTTCTGAATGAAAGTTACTAAAAAAAATTACTAATAAAGAGCATTGAATGAATTACAAACAAACAATTTTTGGAGAAGAGTAATAAATAAACAAGGTGCATTTGGTTTATTTATTTTGTTTTTTTTGATAACCGGGAGTCAGAGCTTTGCTCCACTATACTCCATGGGCACTGGCACCCACCCCAAAACCCAAACTCGAGAGACATCAATGATTTTTGGTATTAATCTCATCCAAAGATTCAAACTTGAGATCTCTAATTTGGTATGACCAAGAGATCACATGTCCTTGCCAATAGGGTCACCCCTTGGGCTTAAGAGTGCATTTGGTTGATGATCTGAAAATAGAAATCTAAAAACAAGAGTTTCGATGAGAAAACATAGTTTTATTTTTTATTTCATGTTTTCAGTGTTTGGTAATGGATTTGGAAATTGAATCTCAATTTAAAAAATTGTTCAAAGTGTGTTTAGTAATATATTTGTAAACTAGTAGTAGTTGCCAACTAAATACTTATTACACTTCTTAAATAAATTTGAAAAATAAAAACTTAGTACAATCTAAAATATTATTAATTAATCTATTAACATATACGTTATAAATTTCGTACAACTATTATTTTACACTATTATGTAATCTATAATATATTATGTTTTATCTGTTCTAATTTTAACAAAAATGAAATCGGTTTATAACATGAAGAGGATATTTATCAAAATTTGTATCTTTTTTAATATAATTTTGCATTTTAAAATTTCAAATTTAAAATTGAAAACATAATGTTGTTTTCGGAATTTTCACCAATTGGATCACAATTTAGGTCACATAATCCAAAAACAGTTTTCAAAAACAAATCTTCCAAACAGATATTCACTGAATTCATTTGATTTAGTGAATCTGAAAAATAAGAGATAGAATCTAGATTGCATATCAAACAGACCTAAGATTTCATGAATAAATGAATTATAAGCAAGAATCCTTTGGGGCCAAACTTGATCAAGCTACAATTTCCAGATTTTGGTGTGAGAGAAACAAGAGGATTTTCGACAACAAATGTGCTCGATAAGAAGAAACCTTTGAGCTAACTGAAGTAATGTGGCTTCTTGGTGTGTTCTCTCCAATTTTTTGTGCAAAGTTATACCATCACTAAGTTAAACTCTAATTAGAAGAATTTTGATAGCTTTGCACTGTTTTTTTTTTTTTGGAGGGAGTTTCTAGTTTAGTTTGATCAGATAAAAGTTTACTATCTTGTAATTTTAAAGGTTGTAACAAATGTTAGTTAGTAGTTGGGAGGTTTTTTTAGTTTATTTCGTATGTTGTAAAAGGTTGACAAATGATAACTTCTCAGATCTCAATAAAATTTTTTGTTTCCATGTACAAAAAACTATTTAAAAATTAGAAGTATGAATGTGAAAGGTTTTTTATTTTGTTAGGTTTCTAGAATTCCATTGTACCAAACAGAAAATCAAAGGTATGAAACCTAAAATAACCTCCTAAGCAAGAGAATTCCTTACACGTCTTAACAAGAAACTAGCTAGAATGACACCGGAGGTCTGGAATCTAAAAACTGAAACTCAAAGTAGTAAGGGAAGTAGGGAACTATATAAGCATACTTTTTCAAGATATCTTCATCCTCAACAAATTGCAATTGTATTATGGGAATTTGTCTCTGTATCTTAAACATGCACACACACACTAGAGAGTGATGCAAACCTGGGCAGTCAAAAACTAAATAATCATCATCCATGTAATTGTCTAACTCTTCTGTCAACCAATCATCTAGATTTTCTTCAAGATGTCTAAAAATAAGATTAAGGTTATTCATAAAGTTTTAAATAAGCACACATGCATATTCTTCAAATTGTTGCACACAACTTCAGAAATAAAGAGAGCATGTTCACTCATTGAATGAACCAAACAGAAACACGAGGAAGAGAGAAAAACTGCATCCCACAACTTCAGAGATAAAAAAGGGCATAATCACTTAAGGATACTCCATGCAATATAGAAGGCCACCATTAGGACCAAGTCCAAGCTCCTCCATAACATCATCCAATGAAATGAGCTCCCTAATATCTGTAAGCATGCAATATAAATCACTTAAGTTTGGTGAATGAATCATTTGAATTCACAAGATCATCAAATGCAATGTCCACCTACCCATGGCTATAGGATAGTCAAAATGTTCGGCAGCAGGGTCAAGATTCACAACATGCATAGTTCGACCAACAGTCTCACAATGTTGGTGCAAGCTAGAGCAGTAAGTTGACTGATTCAGGTAAAAATTTCACTGAAGTTAGTCAGAATTGATTAACATTTTAGTGACCAAAAATGATTTCTTGCAGCTGAGATTGGAGACTTTTGTAAAATTGAGATGGTTCACAGTTGAAATCAGATAGTCAATATGGAAATAGCTACTATTTTCTGGGATAGACAACCAAAACCAAATTTTCATAAGAAACAACTACCAATTATTAAGCACCTGAGAATGGAATGTTATGGTTTTGGATTCAGTTATGAGCATATAAACAAACAATACTCCAACGGCAAAACTATAGCAGACCTTTCCACTGCCAGCAGGGCCAATAACTAGTTGTGCATATCCCATGGCAGCTTTCGAGTTGTATCACTAATTCAAAGCAGACAAAGACAGGAGATGATCCGCAATGACGCAATAACTGCAACAACAATATATGCAGAACACCAGACACCCACCGCGAATAGCAAATTCAATAAGTCAGAGTGGCCCATAAACACTGTAAGAGAGAAGCAACTTTGGTAAAAATAAAATAAAATATCATGTACTAAATATGGAAAAGGAAAAAGAAAATTTGCAGCTTCAGTTCTTGAAAAGACAGAATACTATCATAACAAAAATATTTGTGCCTCAAGTAAACTGTGGTACCTGGAAATTGAAAAGAGAGAAAGAAAAAAAGAATGGAAAGAAACACAAAAACCAGAGATTCTACAAAACCAGAAGCATCCAGACAAAGCCAACCATCCGTTCTAAACCTAGTAGCAGTTCAATTGCCAAAAAGGTTCGTCAAAGAAAAGATGTTTGAGCCAACATGTGACTTGTGAGCTAATAATTAGCATCTGTCTCTGACCAAGAGATCAAGAGATCATGAGTTCGAATGCTCCCACCCCACTTGTAGTACTAAAAACAAATCGTCGCAAAAAGTTAAAATAAAAAATAAAAATAGAAAAATAGAAAAGATGTTTGAAAAGAGATCAATCAGCTAAAGAATTAAGTCTTCCTACATTTTGTTAACTCTCTTCTTTCTGAAGTTACATGGTAATCACCATAATTGTTGAATATTTAAACAGACACAAGTTCTAGTGCATAAGAGTTTAGTCGACATTTTACGATACATCAGTTCATCCATCATCGCCCACTGATGTTGTTACCTATCATTTATTATACTATATACAAACATAATGCATAAAACAATAAATAAGAATCCATAGAATTGGCAACTAAAAGACAGAGCAAAAGTGTTGTGGGGGAAATGCAGTTCACGGTATTTTGTGGGGAATTTGGAGAGTGAAATTGTGGGTCTTCAATGACATGACATCTCTCTCCCCTTTGATTCCTTTTGGGAGAGTATTCATACTTCTTCTTTCTTGTGGTGTTTAAACCATAATAAATTCTTTTTTGGTAATTATAGCATAGCTATGCTCCGCAAGATTGGAAAGTTGTATTAGTCTATAACCTTTGGGAGGCCTTCTCATCCCCTGCCGTTATTTTGTCCTTTGTGTGATTAATACAAGTTCTTTCTGTTTCTTATTAAAAAAAATAATAATAAAATTGGTAACAACTGAAAATATGGTTTCAAGAATCTCAAGCTAAACAAGAAACCAACAAAGTGGGTAAAAAAAACAGCAACCAGTTCCTTCTGATAGGTGAAGTTAACAATTTTTATCAATAAATTTCCCAACAATGACAACTAATGAGCTCCCTCACCTAAAAAGCACGGACACGGACACAACACAACAAGATACATCGATATGTCAATTTCTAAAAAACTAAGAGTCTAGAACACACACACTGACACTGGGATACATTATTTATTTATTTTAGGATATATGTAAATTTAACATAAAAATGCTAAATGTACTTCACTCCACTAAAAAGCATTAATGTCAAGGCAATTTAATGGGTTGAAGATGTACTCCACTAAAAAGCATAAAAATGCTAAATGTAATCCACTAGAAAATCCTAAAGAAGGATTTCAATTTGATTATTGTTACTTTAGTTTAATTCATCCGAATTTGAGGGATACAAAAAGAGTAAGAATAGAACTTATTTAATTTAGCTCACACTAACACTGGGAGAAGAGTCTGGCCCAAAACAAACAAGATTGTCTCGGAAGCGACAAAGGCAGGCGATGGCAGCAGCTGCGGTAGCGGGTAAAACGCAGAGTGTTTTCATGTGGGTAGCCTTCTTCATCCGTGGTCACTAGGTAGCTTTTTCTATGGCTTTTTTTGTTTAATTATTTTAAGTTTTAGTTTTTTATGTTTTGTCTTTTAGATTTTAGCAGGGCTTCACATTGTACTTCCATGACGAGACAAGAGATGGCCTAAGGGGATCAACAAAAAAGCAACACTGACCCAAAAAAAATCGCACCCAAACTTTGAACTGTCCTTCGTGTTTGTATTTCTGTAATTAAAGCAAGTTTCTGCAACTGTGTCTTTAAATGCAAAGCCCTAACCTAACAATGGGAACCAATATTCCACAGAATGAAGAATTCTTAATAAGTTTCAGTTCAGTCAAATAACAACAATAAATTGCAAGCCGCCACAAAAACACGAGTCAACAAAAACAATCGACCAAAATCACAGGAAAAAATCATTTACCCGCTGAACAAACTGGGTTTATTTCCTGCTTCACAAAACTGTACGACGACTAAAACCCTTCAAATCCCAGCTTCAACACAAGCTCGAAGGACGAAATAGAATAACAAAATTTGGAAACAAAGAGAAATGAAATGACAATCCAATCATCAAAATCAGAGAAAGCAAAAGGAGTGGAAGAAAATAAAAAAGAATCTTCAATTTTGAAGGAAAATTAAATGAAAACTTACCAGAAAAAAACAGGAGAAGATTAAAACCCTTGAATCTTCGGGTATTGGAGATTGATCATAAGGTCAGATTGGAGCGAAAAACGGGTAATTACAGAAAGGAGAGTGGGAGAGAAATAGCAAGACAGCTAACGAAAGAGAGAAATTTGTGCTTCGATTTCAACGCGGAAAGGGAACGACTTGAGAGAGAGAGTAAATATATGAACTGACACAAGAACAGAAAGAACAACTGCCCAAATATTTGAAAGAAAATAACAAAATTGACAATAACCCAAAATCATTGAGATTTTTTTCCCCTTATTTTGTTTCACATTATAATTCTTTTACAGGTGGATTGTAACATCGACTTTTAGAACAGTAATAAATATTCAACTTTCAACTTTTAAAGACTTGGTAAGTATCATTTTCATGCTAGCTTAGTAGTAATTGGTAATATATTTCAAATCAAGAGGTCGTGAGTTTGACCATCCACCCTCACATATTATACTAAAAAAAATAAGTATCGTATTCATGATGCTATATTCAAATTCCCAGAATAATAAATATTTGAAATAAATATGTGTGTATATGTATATACACGTGAATTAACATTTTTTCTTTACAACGTGGAGTCAAAACTTTGCTTCCCTATACCCAAAGACACATGCACCCGCCTCAGGACACATACCGACTATTCACGCATAGTTCAATAAGTTCAGTGTCAATCTGATTTTTTTTTTTTTTCGAAAAAGAAACTATTTCATTGATATATGAAATATGATTACAAAAGGCCCAAGTTGGACTACAGAAATGCTTTCCAATTAGATAAAAGGGAGGCAAAACTATAGTGATGAAAGAGAGGTGAGCATTTAGACCAAGATACAACAAAAAAAAAACTATGGAATCGAAAAGAAGATGTGTCGAGCTCCTTATCTTGGAAGATTCGTTGATTTATTTCCAACCAAACCGTCAAATAATGGCAATTCAGGTAAAAAAGGCAATTCGATGCCTATGAAATTGGATGTCCCAACTATAGATTGGTAGATCAAGCTGGTGGTACAATCCCCGCTCAGTAATTATTGAATTAATAAAAAAAAAGTTGTCCAACCCCACCGCCATGATTGTGTTTGTTATATTCTATCTATAAACTTTAAAAAAATTTCATTAATTGTCTAACTTTACTTTAGCGTCGGTATGGTACAATATCAAGGAAAAATTTTGACTTCTTAAAATTAAGGAGGAAGTTACCCCTTGAACCCATTAAATATTTGACATCTAAGAAAAATAAATACATAAGTTAAAAAAAGTAAAAATAAATAATGGGTTATTAAATCCAAAATTTTTTTCCTAACATAAATAGATGAGTTTAGTGAAATAAAGGCAATTTGGATAAGAAAAATTTGCTTTATGCCAACAAAACTCTGGTCCGTCCACCCTCGTAAAATAATACTCTTCATCGCAACAATGTTATCAATCTAAATATAGCTCAATTAAGATATAATATAGTTTTTTTTTGCGACATAAAGGTTGAAATTTTGATTTGATGAGATTGATGTATTTTTAAATTGTATTAGATTAGTATATAATTGTAATCAATTGATGATAAATTGGAAAGCTTAAATTTGTCCCATTGTTAAAAAAAAATTTAAACTTGATATTCTTTATTAAAATGATAATTAATTTTAAATTGAGTGACATTTAAATTTCAAATCGAGTTGATTAGCCTAAAGGAAAATTGAAACCCTTTTTCTTCAACTTCAAGCACTTGAAGTTGATAGTACAACTTTTGATATAGTATTGATACAAATATAGTCCTTCAAAAACTTAAATGTTATTCTGAGTATGTCTAAAAAATGTTATTATAACGACAATAATTCATTCAAAACGAGTCTAAAAAAAAAAAGAAAAAAAAATCATTCAAAGTGATATGGTTGCACATAAGTTAATTTTACCCTTTTTTTACTTGAAAAAATGTGTCCATCTACTCAACTACGTTTGAATTGACACATGTTATTCTATTTGAGATAAACAATAATGATTGATTTATTTATTCTATGGACAATAAACCTCCCAGTTCCTTCTTTATATCAATGGAAGCAAGGAATTTTAGGACGGATTGGTAAACCAAGACGATAAGTTTGGCTCATGCTCTGAGTAACAACACAGAATAATCCGAACATAGATTAATAGTCAATATATCAGGCTCTTAAAGACCAAATTCTAGAAAAACTATCCAACCACCGGACCCTACAACACTTGCAGGAATTACTAATTTCAAAGGTAGATGGTCATTATGGGGTTTGAACTCATTCCCTTTTAATTAACTCTAGTCCCTTTAGATCAATGAGTCATCTATGATGGTTGCTACAAAAAGATTCTATTATATCCTATAATCCTCACAAACATCGAAAGTCTTTTGCAGCCTTGGATGACTTGGAAAACCGAGAGTTTACCCGATAAGCTTCCTTCCCCAGCTTGTTATAGTATTAACACAAAGTGGCACACTTTTAATTACTTAGTAGTTTCTCAGGGTGGGGCGGTCATCAATAGAGGGAGTTATTGTTGTTGTAATTCATCTTCGATATTGCAGTATAGTTTCGAGATCCTAATAGATAGTGATGGACTTCCTTTTGAGAGGACTAGAATGATATGGATGAAAAGCAAGAAAAATGATACAAATGAAATGGTATCTAAAATTGAGCATTTAAAATAAACATGATGCACAGAGAAAGGAAGGTTTCCAAATTTGTTTGGCTTTCTTCATGGATAACAATTTTGTGAGCATGCCATCCCAACTTACATCTCAATTCTCAATTAACCTTACATATATTAAATCTAACCACACCTCTTTAACCTCCATAAAATTACCATTAGAGGTCGTACACTTTCTTTTCTAACCACATTTCGGTCGTACCGCAAGTGATGGACCGACCAAAAACCAAGTAATGAAATCAATCAAGCTCCAAAGGAAGCCCCATGAAATGGAGCAAAGGCTTACCACAAAGTTCTGCAACAAGGGCATTGGATGAGCATGTGATCGAAATATCTTCAACATTTTTCCACAGGATAGGCACCAGTTATGCAAAAGGAAAGCTTAAAGATATCAGGAATGTAATCTGTCAGAAGTACTGATTTTCGTGAAAGAAGACCAATATTCAAATTCGACGGGATGTTTGTGTTTCTAATCCACAGCTGTGATTATATTAGGAATGGGCTTTTGGTCAACAATCAGAAGCTCAAAGAGAATTTAGCTGAAAATTTCCCCAGGCGTTCAAGGTCACAACAAATTAAAGACCCTATATATCATTTGATAAAAAACTCACCAACTTGAAGAGATTAGACCATTCTAAATCTTTCCTAGCATTGAAGTTCCTTGACTTTTTCCACTTTTCCGAGCAGGACACAGATCATCTCATTGAAAAATAAAATATAAAAACTAGTAGGTTTAGCCAAAAGACTTGCAAAGGGACTCTTTGATTGATTGTTCATGCTATAAAGAGGAAGAATGATTATAAAAAGAACACTACGATATAATTTGGTGTCCATGAAGAAAAAAAGAATTAGCAAACACAAAACTAACTCAACCTTTCTCAGCACTCTCTCCACGCCCATCAAACACTCTACATTTCCCATCTAACCATGTAAACTATAACATATTTTGCTTATTTTGGTTCCAATCCAGATCCTTGTTTGCAAGTCCCTTTGGCTTCGAGGGATTTCTCATCCCCTCCTCTTCTAGTCCTTTATAAAATATTTTATCAGCATCTTGTCCAGAAAAAAAAACCCAAAAAAAAAGAAAAAAGCAAAAACAAAAACAAACCAAGTTCTAGGACATAGAACAGGGCAACAAATGGTGCCTAATAGCTTCTTCCAAATATAACTAACAAAAGGAACCTAAGAATGATCATTCTACACCTACACTTGCTTCACACATTGGTTTGGAGAAAGAGCTATCAGGAGTCTTTAGCTTAAACTTTATCGTCAGTGCAAAGTTCACCAAAGAGAACCAACAATATGAAACTTTTTAGTTAATTTACAGTCAAATCTTCAAACCCAAACTTCAAGAATCATGGTTCCACACATCTTGAATCGAGTCTTGGTGGTTGCATGCAAGCCATACAACCTCAGGAAAGTTAAGGAAGAAATCTATGTTACCCACCCAAAATCTTCCCAAAATCTAATGTTAGAGCCAAACCAGCCATAGAGAATAAACATTTTAGATTACAATGACCTCTGGACATTAATCTCCAAGGATATTTAGTACTTCTGTAATAATTTGATTAATAAACCAAACCAACCAAAATAATCTTTACTATATTTGCTGAAATGATCCAACACGGAACAGCCTTTAATTCTAAGGGAACCTGCAATATCATTTAGCAGCTAAGCAATTTTTCTTCAAAAGATTTCCCATATAAAAATCCTCGTGATCTTGTAACAATGATACAATATTCTTTCTTTAAAGCAACTATTAAATACCAACATGGCGTGAGAGTTTAAGCCAATGGGCATTTCATAAATACCAGCCGATGAAGTTTCTCAGATTACTATTGCAGGAGCTATAATGTAAAAAGACACAAATTCCTATTAAAAAAAATACACAAACAAGTTACCTTCTAATTGCTCTAATGTTTGCAATCGTAACTTCTATATACCTCGACCAATCTCAAATAACAACAATCTACCCATACAGACATCGGGAACTCTTGAGATATTTATTACCTTAGATAGGAACATCGGGTTTTACAACTATCCCCTAGTTCATCGACCAACCCATAGTGGTTTGTTGCTTCTAACATTTTTTTTTTAATGAGAAACAATACTTTCATTGAGAATAATGAAAAATATATAAGAGCTACAAAAAAACCTACAAAAGGGCATCCAAAAAAACAGCCCTAAAAGAGGAGATCTCCTACAGAAAAGGACTCCAATCCAAAAGAAAGAAGTGTTAAATCTAACGATATCCCAAACATAGTCCACAGATTTCTCCACCCCTAAACAATGTATGATTCCTCTCCAACCAAATACCTCATAACATAGCTAGAAAGCCAGCCTGCCATAAAAAGCAACCCCAGTCACGAAAATGTTGCTTCTAACATTTTTATTCCCTCCTTTCATAGTAATGCATTATGGGCAATTCGAAGACAAAAATCAGGGGCATAACACTTCTTGTGAAGGGGAACAATCATACCTATGAGGATTCCTCCAACAAAAACGAAGAAATTTTCATATTATGGGTATCTAACAAATGCTTGCCAGTTTGTTTTACATTCTCCAAATGTTTATATCCATTGTAACAAAGTGGTACAGAAAATCCGAATGCACAAAAAATATTCGATTAACCAGGCTTACAACAGTACAACTAGAAGCATCAAAACGACGCAATTAGAGAAAAATCTTTTGCAAAGACGACAAGTCATCCAAATGTACCACCTCAAGGTACAAATTATTAAACAACCAAACAGCTAAAATAAGCCGATGAACAAAGATTCAACGATCCAAAAACGAGTAAAAATTAAGGAATGTCCCAAGGTTTGGGCTCGGGAACCGCAACGACCATACCTTGAAGGTCGGGAGTGAGAACAACCTGGCAGCCGAGCCTCGAGTGCTTGTTCAAAACCCTAACCCTAGAGCTTCTCTTGAGCACGTACTCCTCGTCATAGGACCGCGGCGGAAGCTTCTCTAGCCACTCCTCAGCGATGCTAACCTCGCATTCCGCCGAACAGGCGTCGATCTCTTCCAAGCGATGGGAATCAGGATCAATCAGCCCCCGATTTGCAAGCGCCTTCAAAAGGGTCTGGCCGGTCAAGCCGACGACCTCCCTCCTCGTGCCCTCCGGATCAATCGCGAATAGCTTCACGATGCGATCCGATACCTTTCTGGAGGACGAGGAAGATTCCGGCGAGGCGGCGACGGCGGACGCCGACCATCTTGAGAAAATGGATTTGGAGTAGCTGATCGCCGGCAGACGGTTGAATTGGCGAAGCCTGTGTAGGTTTGCTACTGCCATTGTTTGGGGGATTTTGATGGGCCGATGAGGGGAGAGAGAATATAAATGCTTCTGGTCACCGTTTTCACTGCGGGCACTCGCGTTGGGGGTAATTTGGGTACATAAAATAGTTTTTGGTTATTTTGGTGTTTTTTCAATTTGGTACCTGATGTTTGAAAATTTATAAATTAATCCTTCATGTTTTAACTTCTTTCTAGCGACCGTTAGTCGAACTGTTTTTTAATTCTGCGATAGATAATTCTAAAACATTTTTTGTTTTCAGGTTTTAAATTTGAAAAATTAGGAACTTTGATAACTATTTTTCATTTTTTATTTTTTATTAAAAAAATGAACTTGTTTATTACTGATTCAATTTTCTAATTTTCTAATTTTCATGGTAATGTTGAACTTTTTCGAAGCTTTCTAACTCTGAATTTTATTCCAACCATGACTTTTCTATCTAAAAAAATTTCTCTCCCTCTCAAATTTTTATCTCTACACTATTTATTATCATCCTTCTAAAATTTTAATCTCTATATTTTTTTATTTTAACATAATATTTTGCTCCCTCTAAAAAATTAATATATTCTTAAATTTATCTCCCTATCAAATTTCGTATTTTATAATTTTTTCTTTTATTTCTAATATATTTTTCTTCTAGCAAATATTTACAACTTAGTTTGTCTATTTTTTTGTTTCAACTTCCTTTCACTGTGATTTTTCTTTCTTTTTTATTTATTTTTTCTCTAATAAATATATATGACTAATCCTTTTCACTATAATTTTCTTTCTTTTTCTAATTTTTTGTTTGTCTTTTGCTCCAACTTTCCTTCCTTTCTCTCAAATTTGTTCTTTTTGTTTTAACTTTTTTCTCACTAAATTTTTATCCACTGAAATTTATCTTTCAAGAAGTTTTATTTTATCCATCTAAGTTTTTATTTTCAGGTCTCCACATCAATGATGACAAAAATCTGTGTAAAGTGAGGTTGCCGCTCCAAAAGCTGGGAATGCATTTCTCTCTGTCTCAACATCACTCCAAGAAAATTCCTATCTTCAAACAAGGATTCCTCGACTTGGACCTCAATTCTCAAAACAAGACAATGAGGTGGAGAACGAGGACTACAAATTTCTGTGAGGACGGAATGAAGAAAGCCTTTGGACTTTTGCACTGTATGTTATCATCTATCAATTTTTATCTCTCTAATATATCTAACTGTCTAACATTATAAATATACTATTACAAGTTATAAACTAATTTAATTTATATTAGAATGACAACACGTAAAATATAATATTCCATAAATTACGTAACATTGTAAAATAATTATTTATTTTTAAATAGAGAGTATTTTTTCAAAAAGCTCCTTAGAAAACCCATATTTTTTAGACACGTGATTTCTAGCGGAAGCAGGGCGAGCTCGCGAATCCCGAAGCACGTCCATGGAGGAGATGTAATCAATCGAAGAAGACGATGAATTCATTCTTAAACAAATCCACATCCAGCAATTTTCCAAGCGAGGAGTTTCAGTATCGCTGAATAGCAACCCCATGATTTCTGCTTCTCCATTACATCCCTGCCCAGTCCCAATTCCCTCTGTCAGGACTGGCGCAGCTTCGTGTTCGAGCAGACATTTCTGCAACTTCGGATTCAATCCAAAATGGGCGCCGTCTATTCCTTTTCCATGGAGAAAATCGGTCGATAAGAGCTGTGGTCACGATTACAGGTTCCGACCCGCGAGATTCTGTGCTTTGAAAGATGGGAATTCTTCGTCTTCGTCTTCAACTTCTCGCAATCGTAATGCTTTCGAGTTTGACGTCGTGATCATTGGGGCGGGGATTATTGGGTTAACCATTGCCCGGCAGTTTCTAATCGGGTCGGATTTGTCCGTCGCCGTCGTGGATAAGGCCGTTCCTTGCTCTGGAGCCACCGGCGCAGGTGAGGAAGTTCAGTAGGAACTGTTGATCTTGTTCAGTGTTTTTCAAATTGAAATGTATTCGATTGGACTTTCAGGGCAGGGCTATTTATGGATGGTTCACAAATCCCCTGGCAGTGACATTTGGGAACTTGCTTTGAGAAGCCACAGGCTATGGGAGGGACTGGCTGAGACCCTGCGTGATCAAGGCTTGAATCCCTCGGAAGAATTGGGTTGGAAGAAGACAGGTACATGATATGGAGAAACCAATTCTTCGTATAGATGTTCTGTTTTTGCTTTCTTTCATTTGTTTTCACAATTGCGAGTAACTTTGACTTCTACATCTTTTACCTTCTGTTAAATAATATTTTGGCAAGTTTGCTAAAGAAGTTTCTTGAATTGAAGCCACTAGATCAAGTGTTTCCATAAAAATATCTCTAGAAGCCATTAGGTTAAGTAGTTTGCCAAACTTGCTCAGTAAACTTTTCCTTTAGGAGTTACTAGACTGCAAAATGTGGCAAGATTGTCACCACAAAATCAACATCTTATCCAAGGCCAAGATGTGACATATTTGTAGCCGTAGAAATTTGCTTGATGAGCAAGTATGGTTGGGCTACACCCATACTTGACCACCCATCCCAAAATTCCCAATTCCAAAATTCCCAATTCCAAATGAGCTAATGTGTGAGTGTGAAGCTCGGTGAGATAAAGATAGAGAGAGTTTCTTCTTATGAGAGATTTTGTTCACCGTAAGAGAGAGTTTGTAACTCCTATTTTATTGAGTGGAATTCTTCTATCCTTTTCTTGAGGTTTTTACCCTAATTCGTTTAGGAGTTTTCCACGTAAAATTAATGTGTCATTTTCTTCTTCTTTCCTTTCTACTTTTTCTCAATCCATTTTAACTGCAATCCTACTCCATTCGGTCCAATCCTTTTCTCAACACGGGGCGTCGGAGCTTGGTTTTGGGTGTTAATATCTACTTATAGTATGCTTTGTGGTTGCCACTAAGAGTGGATCCTCCACATCAGAAAATAAGTTAGATATCTTTCACCTTTACCGAAAGGCGCAGAGGATTGCATACAGTTCGTGATAGAAGTAATGACAGTAAAGTTTGAGATTAAGAAGTTCAACCGGACTATCTAATCGTTAGATGAAGGCTATCTTGAGAAAAGATAATTGCCTTGCAGCCATCAGTGAGGGCCAGTGGAAGTCATAGATGACAATTGGAACGAGATGAATAGGAATGCTATTGCAAGTCTTCATCTAGCACTAGCAGATAAAGTATTGTCAAGCATAGAGGAGAAGAAAACGGTAAAGGAGAAGAAAACTGTAAAGGAGATTTGAGATTATCTCATAAAGTTGTACGAGGCCAAGTCACTTCACAACAAGATTTTCTTCAAGATGAGATTGTATGCTCTTCAGATGTCAGAATCTACTTTAATGACAGAGTACATCAACACGTTGAATACTCTATTTTCTCAACTCACATCATTGGGTCGTAAAATAGAGCAAAATGAATGTGCTGAACTTCTACTACAAAGTCTTCATGATTCATATGATCAACTTGTCATCAACCTGACAAATATTGTTCTCATCGACTATCTAAACTTTGAGGATATTGGAGTTGCTGTCCTAGAAGAGGAAAATCGGCACAAGAACCAAGTAGATAAGTTGGTGAGTTCAAAACAAGGAGAGGCTCTAGCGGTGACAAAAGGCAGATCAACAGAATGTGGCTCAAGTGGGAACTAAAATCAATGAAGGGCAAAATCAAGAAGTAAGAAGAACATAAAGTGCTACAAATGTGGTTAAAAGGGTCACATGAGGAAAACTTATTGAAATCTAAATAAGAAAAATTCCAATCCTCAGGGAAATGTAGCAAACACCTCAAAAGAAGGTGATTTTTTGTCTTGTGGAATAGCGACAACTGTTGAAGGCAGGAATAGTTCAGCTGATGTGTGGTTCATCAACTCAGGAGTCACTTATCATATGACCTCTCAACGAGAATGGTTCCATTATTATGAACCAGTCTCTGGAGGATCTGACAGCTATAATGATCATGCTTTAAAAATTATCGATATTGGAACTATCAAGTTGAAATTCCACGACAATATAGTTTGCACAATTCAACAAGTGCGATATGTAAAAGGCTTGACAAAGAACCTACTCTCAGTAGGTCAGCTAGATGATCTTGATTGTAAAGTGATCGTTGAGAAATGAATCATGAAGGTGATTCAAGGTGCTCTTACACTTGTGAAGGGAAAAAAGGTTGCTACAAACTTGTATATGTTGGAGGGAGATACTTTGCAAGAAGGTGAAGCATCTATTGCCTCGAGAAGTCAAAGTGAAAAGCTCTCGATGACCTGGTATAAAAACTTGGACACACGTCCGAACAAGGAATGAAGGTTCTTGCAAAGATATCTACTTTCAGGGCTCATTAAAATATCTCTATCCTTTTGTGAGCATTGTGTTACAAGTAAGCATCACAGGTTAAAGTTCAATACATCAAATTCTAGAAGCAAAGAGATTCTAGAATTGGTTCACTCTGATGTATCCACTTGTCATCGATGGGTGGGGGGACAAAATCACTAAGGGTGTGGGAGAGTTTCATCCATTCTTCAAACTCTTCATCCTTTAGAGGTCTACTGGAGTTGTAGTCCCATGAAGAGATGGATTTGGTCCAATAAAGCATTGGGAATTGGTTGGCTAAGGTCCCTTATAGGATCCATCTATCATTCCAAAAGCTGCAAAGACTTTGATCCCCCATCCCACACCTTGCAAAGCACAAACTCCTTGATGAAATGAGAGATGGAGAATGGCAGTCCATGGACCTTTGTAAATGGAGGCACCATTTTTGGGCCATGCAGCAGATGAAGTTCCCATGTATTTGGCCAAGATGAGCTTCCTCCAAAGGTGCTGTTGTTCATTAATGAAACGCCATACCCATTTGGACAGCAGAGCTCGATTCTTAAGCTTGATGTTACCAACTCTAAGGCCTCCTTCGGTGAGGGGAAGCTGTACCCTCTTCCAATTAATGTGGTGTGGGTTGCCAACAATCCTTCTTCAGATGACCTTTCTTGCCACAATGGTAGCACTTCATATTCTTCTTACTTTTTGATTTTGCCCTTCCTTGATTTTGGCTCCCACTTGAGCCACGTTCTGTTGATCTGCCTCTTGTCACCGCAAGAGTTTCTCCTTGTTGTGAACTCGCCAACTTATCTTCTTTGTTCTTGCGCTAATTTCCCTCTTATAGGACAGCAACTCTAATATCCTCAAAGTTTAGATAGTCGGTGAGAACATTATTTGTCAGGTTGATGACAAGTTGATCATACGAATTAGAAAACTTTGAAGTAGAAGTTCAACACGTTCATTTGGCTCTATTTTACAACCCAATGATGTGAGTTGAGAAAATAAAGTATTCAACGTGTTGATGTGCTCTGTCATTGGAGTAGGTTCTGTCTTAGGAAAATCTTGTTGTGAAGTGACTTGGCCTCGGTGCAACTTTATGAGATGATCCCAAATCTCCTTTGTAGTTTTCTTCTCCTCTATGCTCGACAATACTTTATCTGCTAGTGTCAGATGAAGATTTGCAATAGCATTCCCGTCCATCTCTTTCCACTTGTCATCTGTGACTTTTGTTGGTCTCTCATTGATGGCTGCAAGGCAATTATCTTTTCTCAATATAGCCTTCATCTTCAACTCCCACAACGAGAAGTTAGTCCCGTTGAACTTCTCAATCTCGAACTTTGTTGTCATTACTTCTATCACGAACTGTATGCAATCCTCTGCGCCTTTCAATAAAGGTGAAAGATATCTAACTTATTTTCTGATGTGGAGGATCCGCTTCTAGTGGCAACCACCAAGGGTACGATAAGTAAATATTAACACCCAAAACTAGACTCTGACACCACGTGTTGAGAAAAGGATTGGACCGAGCAAGGTAGGATCACGGGTAAAATGGATTGAAAAGAAGTAGAAAGGAAAGAATAAGAAAAGGACACAGTTGACCGTACAACTTGATTATTCAAACCTCATGCTTAAAAGACAGTATCAGCCATATGCTTGATTGCATATATAGAACTGTTGTGTGATTAAAATGAAGGGTAAAGACTGGTAAATTAAGTGTTTCTTCTAGGAAACTTTCTGGTTATGTTGTGTATAAGAAGGAAAATGATTAGCTCATATGACCACAAAATCTATGAAACCAGGTCAGTAATTATCTTATACAAATTCATAGAGTACATTTGTGCCCACAGACAGAACTTAAACTTGTAATGCGTTTTTCCTTGAAAATTATGTGGTCTTACACGAATGATTGAATACGGATAATGTATAGTTTTTTTTTTTAATTTATTATTGTTATTGTTTTTGTTTTAGGGAGCTTGTTAATCGGTAGAACACCTGAAGAGCTTGACATATTAAAGAGGAAGGTAAAGCAGCTTTCTGAGGTTGGACTGGAAGCTGAGTTCTTGTCTGGTGTTGATTTGCTCTCCATGGAACCAGCTCTTTCGGTTGGGGACAATTGTGGGGCCGCCTTTGTCCCCAATGATTGCCAATTGGATGCTCATCGTACTGTTGCATTTATTGAAAAGGTTTTTTCTGAAAGTATTAATTCCGTTCTACCTATCCATTTATGTTAGCTACTATATACTAACACCAATCACTGATAGATATGGTAACATGTAGGCTAACAGACATTTTAAAGGAAGATATGCAGAGTTCTATCATCATCCTGTTACAGGCTTATTAAGGTTAGTTTTTCTTAGCCAGTTTGCCCGTACACAGATGTTAACAACAAGAACAAGAAATATACAAGAACAAGAAATATCAGTAGTTCCGATGAACCACAGGTTACTTGATGTTTGACTACAATAATAAATATGTATATCGTAAATCATACTTCGTTTAACAAATTGATAAATAGTGACAAATAATTTATCAAAATTAATTTATTATTATTATTATTATTTTGTATGTGAATTCTTTCTTTTCAAAAAATGTTTCTACAATACAACCCTTGGAGTTTTTAACGCTACAAGGTTTCTGAAATAAGAATAAGGCCATTAACCTGATTAAATTTTGAGGCAAGATGACTTTGAGAAAATTAGTGAAAGACAGAGGAGGGAGGCAATTTGAGTAGGGGTAAAAAAATATTAAATAATTCAATAAATTCTTCAGTTTAACCCCCGGATGTAGTCAAGATATCATGAGTTCAAACCATTAAAATCCTACGGCGGCTATTATTATAAGAAATTTCTTACTGTTAAAGATTTGGAAAAGGCAACTATTAACAAATTGAGAATGAACGTTCACCTTTCCTATGATAATGGAACTAGTCTGCTTGATTTGTACTATCACTTCATTTCAACTGTTACTATGAACACTTTCTTGCATTTTATATTTGCGATTTTTTAATATTAAATTTAGATAATAGAATCATAAATGTTTGAAACATCCACTTTTTAATATTCATAACCATTTCAAATAGGAAGCAGTAAAGATGCATTTTCTGGCATGTGTTGACTGTTGAGCCAGTTGGCTTTGGTGCTGCAGTTCTGTTACGTAGTTATGCCTTTTAGAGAAGAAACGGATGTTATGCAAAGAAGAAATTGATTTGAATAGGATTTCCTTGATAAGGAAAAGGAATATCATGAAAATTAAGCAAATGAATGACAGAAGCATGCTAGTTGCTGACCAAAATACTCAAGTACGTCGATATGTCTTTTGTGCATGAATTGTTCTAAATGAATTATAGTTTTTTTAAACAAGAAATGAAGGTGAAAAGGAACAATAATGTTAAAAGGAAACGAGCTCCAAAAAGGAGTGAAAAGAAATTGAGAAGGAAAATACAAAGCTCAAATAAATCTTACCAATCTTCAAAAGATCGAGGCTGCAAAGAAGAGCAAAGAAATATCAAAGGCCGTCAAATTGTAAAACCATGAGCCACCAAAGATATTATAGATAACGCTCCCAGAGATCAGTTCAACCCTCTTGAAAGGAAATTTCGTACTCTCATGCAAAAGTGAAGAATCAAGTTAGGTTTTATTCTTTTGGGTTGGAGCCTGTTTCTACATGGTTAGAGTTTGGATTCCTTTTGAGGGGTTGGTTTTTTCTTATGCCCTTATGTTTCTCAATGAAAGTTTGGTTTTTCATCGATTAAAGAAAAAAGAAAAAGAAAAAAAGAAACGAGAAAGATGTTAGATTTCATAGAAGTCAGTAGAAGCTTTATTGAAAGAAGAGTTATGATTCGAAAAAAGAACCGGCCCAAAATCACTTAGATCTTTGAAAAGATCATTAATATTACTTTCCAATTCGGAATTAGTACTACTAATACTAACTACTATGTCATCACTAAAATCCAAGAATTTTTCCACTTCTGGGTCCATTTGATAGCTTCATCACTTAATGAGTTAATAATACCACAAGAAAGATGCATTCCCTTTAAAGCATCTTGAAAAGGACCAAAATAATCTGAATTATTATCAAACAAAACCAAGTCCTGGTTGTTAGAGGACAATGATTTCGTTATTGAGTTGCACGTTGAGACTTCTTCACCCAATACTTCTACAAGATTTTAATCAACGTCGAGGATTAATTTTAAGAAGAGTGATCCCTACATCTATGAAATATTGAAATAGATCTTCCTTATCCCTGCTATTGTGAGTTTCGCAATTACCATTGTCTTCAGATGAAAATAACTTTAGTTCTTCACATGATCAGATCTGGAAGCAATGGGAAGATAGAGGCTGTTCAGACGTCCAAGACTACGTTGCACAGTAAGAAGGCCATTGTTTTGGCAGCTGGTTGTTGGAGTGGGACTTTGCTGCGTGATGTGCTTGGTGAAGAAAAGACTGTTTTGGATGTTCCCATCATGCCAAGAAAGGTGTGAATCCATGAACATGACGGACCTTTTCTTTGAGATGTTTTTATGCATCGTACTGATCCGCCTGTTTTTCATTAATCCTTGGCATTATTTATTTACTCTATAGATATGAGGAGTCAATTGATGATAGAACCTGAAATGTTCGCTTTAAACAAAATATGGAGAATATGCTTTTTGCAATAATGCAATCTTTTAATTAGAAGAATTTCTCAAATTTAACTAGCATTGTAATTACTGGTTTTTGATTAGTAAAGTGTAACCTCACATGTCCACAAGATTATGAATGTGCTAGGGATGGACAATATCCAGGACGCAGAGTGTTGGAAGAAACAAGCATTATTTTCCTCCTCAGTTTCTGAGAATTGATCTTCTTGGTTACACAGCATTAACTAGTTCCCTTTCTTGTGATTCGTTCCAGTAAATAGTTGCTTCTGCTGTGAATTAGGTGTTGTGTTAGCTTGGTATATATTTATTTATATTTTCTATTATAGGTAGGTTCTCTTCATATTAATTACCTGGAAGTAATTTATGAGCAAGGATGCTTTCTCTGAAATACTTTCCATCTCCTCAAAAGTTTGGTCAGGACTAACTCTCTTATTTTCATGGCAGGGTCACTTGCTTGTCATTGAGAATTTTAATTCCCTTCATTTGAATCATGGTTTGATGGAGGTGGGCTATGTCAATCATCAAACTTTAACTTCGGCTGAAGGTCTTGAGCAGACCTCATCCATTTCAATGACTGCCACTATGGATGTTCAAGGGAATCTTGTACTTGGTAAAATAACTCTGTGACCGCCACTTTAGTATACTAAATTTTTTTCACCATATTCTTATTCTTTCATTGTTTCCTAACTCCATTTCCTTTTATCCATCCATGCATATGTTTGTTCTAATGTGTCATGACCGTGCCACATAAGCTGATACAGGATGACTGACATATCCTATTTTATGTTATTTTGCTTGGAATGTAACAATTAAAATCCTGATAACATGTAAAGAATAAGTGTTATTTCTATGATGATGAATGATTGCACAAAAACTTTGCATCTTCTATGAATGGTTTGACTGGAGAGGAATGCCTGTATGTTTGAGGACGAGAATAGAAGTCAAGATGATTTGGAGTTCATTAACTTTCGAGCATCTAGATGGTGTGCCAAGGAAGAAAATAAGCGTAAACAAAGGCTACTTTCAAATAAACTAAATTTTGTGACTGAACTCAATCTCGTTTGACAGAAGATGCTGACAAGGTCATTTTTCTTCAATTATAACTTTAAATATTTGCATCGAATATATACCTGACATAATTTGAGTATAAAAAAGGAAAGATTAGATACTCGAAGGCAGCTAGCTATACACAATCAGATAAATATTGAAAAAGGAAAGGGAAATGGGAGGAAAGACAAAGGGAACATGGGAGCTAGCCCTAGAAGGAAATCCAAACTCCCAGTGGTAACACCCCCCGACATACAAAATTAATCTATTTCTCAAACTTTGCTTTGAATTTATCATCAGAAATTTGAAAGCTTCCTTCAAATTGGTCAACTTATTTCAGGGAGCAGCCGTGAGTTTGCTGGTTTCAACACTGAAGTGGATGAATCTATAATTAATCGTATATGGGGTAGAGCTTCAGAATTCTTTCCTATGATGAAAGAAGTGTCTCTCTCAGATCTCAAAAGCAACAGTAAAGTGAGAGTAGGTCTACGACCATACAGTGAGTATCATGTCACTTATAATAGTTTCAACTGTTGAATTATTAGGATTTGGATTTCCTTATATGAGTTTATACCCACAGCGCTTGGTGGAAAGCCAGTGATTGGACCTATTCCTGGTTTGTCAAATGTGTTCCTTGCATCTGGCCATGAAGGTGGAGGACTTTCAATGGTAACACACACTCTCTCTATCTTTGAAAACCACTGATACTCCCCAACCACCCTTCTAATGATTATAGAGAACTATAAAAAATCGTGGTTCTATCGAGCAAGTTAAAACCAAAACCCACCCGTATTTATTTATTTTTGTTGATTCTATTATTTGACCTATTTTAATTAACATCCAGGCACCGGGGACTGCAGAAATGGTTGGTGATATGGTGCTGGGAAATTCTTGGAAAATTGATCCCGTTCCTTTCTCGGCACGAGGACGATGTTAATAACTGCTTACAACTTACGATCCAATAATGGTATTCTTGGTGGCTTCTGTATTCATGTATACTAACCTTCTTTCCCCCTTCCAAAGAGGCAACTTGTAGTTGTCAATGAAGGTCAACAATATCATAGCAACCCAGTAGTTCGTTATTTTTGTTTTCCGCACCTTGAGTTTCAGTATCTGTAGGCTCATTTGTTCTGAGGAAATTCTGGAACTTGTGGGCCTCGATGCATAAAATTCCGTGATCTTTTCAATTTACTTTGTGAGTTGTAACTCATTCACTGAGGTTAGAAATGAGAATGCAATGCACGACAATTATTGCTAGCTTTTCCTGATTTTGTGAGAAACTTATTACATGTTTGGAACAGGGAAACTAAATTACCTTCTTGGCTGCACTTGATGAAGCTATCAACAAGACTTGGTATCATAGGTCGATTTATTTTTGAAGGGTCTGTCATAACATGGAGTAAGTAGGCAGCAGAATTTTCATATTTAGATCTGGGGGATAGATTAAAGAATGCTCTTGCCCATATTTGTGATTGAACATTTTATTGTTACGAATAGAATTTCATGAAACCACATCAAATAGATATGCTGTTTGGAATTCCCTTTCCTGTGATCCCTCCTTTTGGACTAAAATTTGATGTATCAGGGAACAAAAGTTTGTACGGGATCTTTGCAGGTCCGCTTCTGTTCTTGCGCATGGGATCTTTGTTTCTCTCAGCTATTCTCTTTTCTATATTTTTAAGTTCTTTGCTGAACTCACTGAAGTAATGCTTGACCATTGCATTATCTGTCCAGTTGGATGACGACTTCCTTCCCAGGTACAATTCGTCCTTGGTGTGGTTTGAAAGGACCTTCGTCAATGAAATGGCAACCGCAGTTTCGAACTTTCCAGGTAACATCTCGAGATAGTATTTGTCTGGATTGCTCAAGAGTTCAGCATATTCAACGGTTCCTTCACTGGGAATGAAATTGTGGCATAGTGTGGGACGACTAAGAGGGTAGCTGGCATATGCATATTGCCCTGTGTTCACTGCAGCATGGAGTCCAGTTGCTGTCCATATGAGAGTTGTTAAAGCCTCTACTAAATCCGAGAGTGTGGTCATTTCGTACCACCCTGACTCGTTGGACTTGTCGCCGTGACCAACATTTCTGATCTCAGACCACCAAGCTTGGAGTTCCTCATCAGAACGTACGGAGTCATCTTCTCCATAGAATATTGAACAGAAACTCTTCACCCAGGTCTTGATTGCAGTCCATATCTCAAGTCCATCTTCTGCATATGGATAGTCAGGGAAGATGAGCCGAACTCCCGTCGGGTTTCTTGGATCTCTTACAGCCATATTTCTAAAGAACCAAAGTAATATTGGCACATGTTTGTTATCATGTTGAGCTCAAGCAAGAAAAATGGAAGAGAGAAAAGGAAAGCAATGTAACTGTGGTTACCTTTTCAGCAGGTCTGCCGGGAGGCCCTGTTCGTCAAACCGCCACTCTTTGTAAAGCTCGGAAGATAGTTCCATGGAGAACTTACCAGAAAACAATATCTTCTCAAAGATTCCATCAGGTTTCAACATGAAGCTCCTGTATAGTGAGTTGATATGCATGGTGTCTTTGAAATGAGGATTCAGCAGTCTGTAGATGGGATGCATCACACTTAACTGTCTGCGGGTGGCAATGATGAATGGCTCAACTACTGCATGGGTATGCAACCTAAAAGGGAATAACAATTTACAAAGCATTCCAATCCTATAGTCTTACAAGTTTCATTATCTTAGATTCATCCATCATGTCTCAAATTTTTCTTATGGTAAAATACATCCTTGAGTTTTATGATAAGTTTTTATTTGGTCACTAAGTTTCAAAAAATGAGGTCCCTAACTTTAAAAAATAGTTCTAAAAGGTCTTTGGAGTCAAATTTTTGTTTTAAACACTAAATGAAATGTTGATGTGGAAATTTGAGGTATTATGTGGCATTTGATGATGTATTTATTTTAAATGAGTTAGACATTTGTGCTTTTTCTAAATAAAAAATAAGAAAAACCAAATCACTTTGATTTATGAAAATCTAGGTTATGGGTTTAATCAACAACATTTTACTTGGGCTTTCCTGCTTCTTCCTTGTTTCTAGCTTTTTCAATTAAAAAAAGTACAAATGGCACGTAATTTGAAATAAATACATCAACAAATACCACATAATACCTCAAATTTCCACGTCAGTATGACTCTGAGACCTTTTAAAATAATTTTCTAAAAGTTAAGGAACAAATTATCACTTTTTAAAACTTAGAGATCAAATAAAAACTTAACTTATCCTCAAACTCAAGTATTAAAATTGTATTTTACCAATTCTCTTATATGACACATTTTATTTGAAAGCGGTAGAGAAAGGTGATGATCTACATTCGAGAAAAAGGATAATGTCTCTTAATATTGATACCGAACTCTTCAATTTATGAAAATAGGTGACGGGTCTCACCAATGGCTGACGAGTTGATGGTATACGGAGTCGTTGGCCGCAACATGAGCTCGGGCAAGGTGCCACATTGCAGCTTCCATGCCCTCAGCCGCTGGCAGGTAAACCCAACTGATCTCTTCTCCTTCAGCTTCAGAGTAGGGTAAAGAAAGTTCAATAGCCAAAGGCTTTAGAGTAGAATCAGTCCTTAAGAAGAGTAGGGTTCGAGATGCATAGGCAAATACATTGCCACTGTTGTTTATTCTATTCAGAAATGGCATTAGGTAGTCATGATGATCCAACAGCAATATCCTTCGATCCTCTATTGCCTATAACATTTCAAAACATTAAAGATACTCAATATTACCATATGATTCTTTCTTCCTCCCTCTTTTTGTTATTATATTGGTAGATTTAAATAATATTTTGGTCGGGGTACTTTTCGCTTTAGTTCATTTTGGTAATTGTACTTTCATTTTTGTCCCTGCACTTTTAACTTTGGTTCATTTTAGTCACTGTATTTTTAAAATGTTAGTTTTGGTCCCTGTATACTTTTAAAAAGTGACCATTTTGGCCCCTTAATTTTATTTTTAATCTCATTTTTTTCTATAATAATTTCAACACAACACTACATTTAATATATATCTTGAAATGTAATCATAAATTTATATTAAATGAGTTTCGATATGTGTAGAATTTGTGTTAACATCTTGAAAATATAGACCAAAATAGTCATTTTTTTAAAAGTACAGGAACTAAAACGAACATTTTAAAAGTACACGGATTAAGATGAACTAAAGTTGAAGTACATGGACCAAAATGAACCATTTGAAAATATAGAGGTCAAAATGAACTAAAGTTAAAAGTACGTGGACCAAAGCAGTATTTTAACTTTTTACGTTTTTATTTTTATTTAATTTTAAATTATTAATCTAAATGAAGCTAGAGTCAATATTTATAGCATTTGTACTCTAATTAAACCCCTATTCTCATTTTTCTATATTAAAATTTGACACTGTGCATTTGGGATCTTACACTTGCATGGACAATTATTACCTGTTTGATTTGGTCAATGGTTGACATATTTTTACCTGTTGAAGGGTAAGACCGTCAAGACTGTGCTCAATATCCGACTCTTTTATTGTACTAACCACTTTGGTTTTGCTTTCTGGTGGAAATTTCTGTCAAACATTTTCAAAGTAATTACAATATTATCATAACACTTATTAAAAAAAATAAATAAATAAAATTAAAACACAGCTTGTCCCACTATTTTCGCTAAAGTAATACTGTAATTTTTAATATTTAATTTGTAATGATTTGGTCTTTGTATTTTTAAATTGGTAATAATTTAGTTCCTGAACTTTAGTAAGTAATAATTTAGGACCCGATAACTATTTCATTTTTTATTTTTGGTTTTTGAAGAACAAGTTTGTTTCATAACCCATTCAATTTCCTGTTTTTTTTATAATTATTTTTGAAATCCTTAGTAAATTAAAAAAAAAAATGTAAGAAAAACAGATTTGTGTTTTTCAAAATCTTATTTTTTTTCTTCTAATGCTCAATCTTTTTTTCTTTCACATATTTCTCTCTAATAATTTTTTTACCTAAGTTCCTCTCTCTCTCTCAAATTTTCATCAATGAAATATTTTTCTCCCTCTCAAAAATTTTCATATATATTTTTCAAAACGTTCTCATCCTCATTCTCAAATTTCACATCTTATAATTTTTCTCTTCTTTCTATTCTATTTTTTCTCTCACAAATATATCTTCCACATTTTTCTATCTAAATTTTGTCTTCGTTCAATTTTCTTTCATTTATAACTTTTATTTCTATATTTTATGTAACAAATATATTTTAAATTTTTTTTATCCAAATTTTGTTCTCACTCTAATTTTCTCTCTTTCAAGGTTTTTTTTCTCAACTTTACTCTCTAGAATTTTTTTTTTACTTTAACTTTTCCCTCGCTCATTTTTTTATAACTTTTTCTCTAACTCTCTAAGTTTACCCTCTCTTAAATTTCTCTTTCAAAAGGTTTTTTTCTCTCTCTCTAAACTTTTATTTTTATGTCTCTACATTAGAGATGACGAAAATTCTCATAGGGTGAGTTCCCACTCTAAGAACAGAAAATGCATTTCTCACCATGTCCAATCTTCAATTCCATTTTTTAAATAATTATATATATTTTATCAACTTTTTTACTAAATTATGAATAAACATTAAATATTTTTTTAAACTAATTATTACACTAGTAAATAATAATTTTGAGTAAAATAATATAGATTATATATCTTTATTACTTTTTATTTTTTAAATTCTAAAAAATAATTATAATTAATCATTAAACCAATAATTTTTATCGTGAAGATCCTCGTCCTCAAATGATGATTTTTGAACCTAGGCCTCGATTTCCAAAATCGAAAAATGGGTTGGAGATGAGAATTACATAGACTTTTTTATCTATATCGTTAATAGAATGCTAACATATCACTTCACCGACAATCGAATAATAGTGCAGGAACATAAACTCAGAATCACTTTTATCCATAATTTTGACATGCTTGGCTTGACTACTTGACCGGATTGCTAGTCCTCGATCTAATCCAAACTCTAAATTGTATTCATCTATTTATTTGTAATTAATTCAACTAGCTATTAGATCATGATATATCGTCTAAATTTTATCTAATAAAGTGTCACGTTAATATATAGTTAATCAATCCTAATGATAGAGACTCGAGATAAGTATGGATATAATTAAACCTTTTTAGAGTCAAAAGAGTATGCAGATGCAATATTTAATGTATAGAGTGATTTTTAAAATTTTTTTTTATAATTTATTAATCGATAAACATAGGTAGTTTACGTACGTGTAAGCATGTGATTCGCACGGGATTAGTTCCTGCAAGCATTTGTCGTGCAAATTCATCATCATCCATCCATGCCCATTCATTTTCTGTGGTAAAAAAAAAAAAAAAAACTTATTTATATTAACACCTATATTTGATAATATCTTCCAACAATTTCCAAGTAATTAAAAAGAATCATGCAGTTAATCCAGTTTTATAGGTCCATAAGTACAAAATGTTAAAAATGGATATTATCGGTAGTTTATGAGATGATTACTTATTCTAAAAACTAAAACAACTAAAAAACAAAGTAGTTGTCAAAAATACATTTTTATTTTCAAAATATAGTTAATATGTTTGAAATTAGGAATTTAGCACTAAACATTTTTTTAAAATGAAATGCATAGAATAAAATCAAATGAGTTCTTAGAACATGATTAATAACATTTTTATTGCTATTTATTTTTTATTTCTATTTGTTTTGAAGCATTCATTTGACAATGTTTCTTATTTCCTATATTTTCTTAGAAATACTTCTATAACTATGCACAAATTTTGCAAACAAAAATGTTTATATATATATATATATATATATATATATTCTCACATGAATATTTTATATTTTAGGAAGACATTTTAGAGAATAAGAAACTCATCACGAAATATATATGTTTCCTTTAGACGAGAGAAGAGAAACAGTAACAAACAAGGAACGTTATCGAACAAACTTAGATTTTCAATAAATAGCAAAGGAAGAAGAAAACTTTACCTCTAAGAAGTTGAGGAAGTGGATACATGAAGGGATGTTTTTGAGAGAGAATTTGTTGGAAAAGTTGTTGTGGGAGAAATTTTTTGAGTTTTTGTTTGGTCCATTGGTCTGCTTGGGCCAAGTTGTTGGGCTTTTGGGCCCAAAACAAATTATGCAATTCAACAAAAGACTTGAAATGGGCCGTGGATTGTGGTTGGTGGTTTAGGGCTTTTAGGGTTGGAAAGAGGAATTGAAGGGCAGCTTCCACTGAGTTTGAAGCCAATTCTATTATTTTGGTGTGCCTCATTCTCTCATCTGGTGCCACATTTGTCTCTGATTCTATTTTCCAATTTGAACAATCTAACCATATCACCAAAAAAAGGAAAAAATAAAAAGTCACCTTTTAAGCCAAATGTTAAAAATTTTGCTAGATTGGGAAGAACGGTGTGCTCCCGACTGTTCTGATTTCATGCTTATGGTGACTTTGATGTGATTTTTAAAAGGGTGAAAGTGTGTTTGATCCACCAATTCACGGTGTTTAGTTATATAGTCAAAAGTAGCCTTTAAATACATTTAGAATAAACATTAAGGACCTCGTTTGATAACCGTTTTGGTTTTGGTTTTCTATTTTTTAAAATTAAGCTTGTTAACCCTACTTTCACCTATGTATTTCTTTATTGTTTTTAAGAGATGTGAAAACATACCAAGGAACTCATGATCAAACAAGCATGCCTTTGAAAAACAAAAAACCCAAATAGTTATGAAACAAGGCCTAAATTAGATTAATAACAATTTTGTGCTGCTTGATTAAATTCAAAGGACAAGAGAACGAGAGAGAAGATAAATTTGTACCAGCATTAGAAGGAGGTTGACCAGTTCTTCCTCGACGAGGATATGGAAGCAATCCACCTGGTTGAGAACGCTCTTGGGAATTCCCAATATCGTCGTAGCAATCATAGTCGTAAATTCTATCCCATTCTTTTCTTTCTCCTTTACTATCTCCCCTTAGCTTTGCTAGCTCCTCCTTTCTCAGCTCCACAAGGGGTTTTGGTGTTTGGCTTGGAACATAACTCTAATCCCAAACACACAAAACCAACACTCGTTATATATGCAACACATATGAACAACTAGTAGTGAATCTCATCACAAAAATTCATTTCTAAAGAATAGCTTAAAAACCATTTTTCACCATTTCAAAATTATCTCGAACAACACTTATAATTACCGTAAACTTTATTTGATAATGACCTTAATTCTTTAATGGACAAAATATACTGTTATTTCTTCATTTATATGTCTCAACTTTGATCATGGTATCTATTTAGTTCTTACATTTTTTAAAAAAATTTAATAAAACCACCCAACTTTAAATTGAGATTCATATAATCACTACGGTTAACCTCACTAATTCACTAATTAAATGATGACTAATTCAAGATGAAGTCTCAGAAATAAGACAGAAAGAAGCGACTGAACTAGACAAAATAGAACGACACAGGCTAGCAACCGTCGCTTAATTTCGTCTACTAATTATCCATTTCGTTTCCTTAACCCAATGTAAAAGATTACTCACAGTGTTTGAGAAGAAAAGGCAGTGAGTGAAAGTGAGGTTTGTAGGATAAACCCAAGAGTTGCATTCAAAGTGGATGATTTGGGGATGGTTTGGAGTTTGAAGAAAAGCTGATTTGATGAAGAATTTGTGCTTATGCTGATTTGTTACCACAAGAGCTCCTGGAATTCCAAATCCACTTTCAACTTTCAACTTTATTTTGTAGGAAGTGCTTTTTGAACCATCACTGCCCTTTTTCTTGGTTTTCCACCCTTCTAACTTTGCCTTCTCACTCAACCTTCCTTTGCCCGTTTCTGTTCGACGAAGAATCATAATGAAAATCAATCGAAATAAGATAGGTATGAATCGGATGAGTACGTTGTTTTTAGGTTTCGTTTGATATCATTTCTAGTTTTTTATTTTCAATTTTTTAGAAACATATGGATAGTTGATAATTGTTCATGTTTCTCATCTGCCATGTTTAAGAAAAGTTTCAAAATTACAACAACATAAGTCTCTTGTTTTTTTATTAATGTTTTCATATTTTCTAAAATATAGATGAAAACATTATTTTTCAAAGAGATAAAAGCATTTTTTTTCCATAAATGCATAATAAACATAAAAAATAAAATAATTTGAAAAATTAAATTTCATATACAGCTAAGAACAATAAACGATTTTATTTTGTTTTTCAATAAAAAGAAAAAGAAAACATAATTCTATTTTTTTTTAATTAAAAAAGAAGATCCGGGAAACAAGGAGCTTACTAAATCCGTTTTTTAACAAACTACAAAATTTAAAAAAGAAAGAAAAACTCAACCGATCAAAAGTATCGTTTTTACCACTTTTTAAGTTAAAAAGAATTTAATTAGACGAAAGGGTTATATACTTCCAACTTTAGTTCATTTTAATCTATATATTTTCAAAATGTTCAGTTTGGTCTATGTACTTTTAACAATCGATCATTTTGGTCTTAATTTTATTTTTTAAACTTATTTTTTCTATCACAATTTTAACGTGATACTACATTCAATATATTTCTTGAAATGTAACCATAACTTTATGTTAAATGATTTTTTTCGTTATGTGTAAACTTTATGTTAAAATTTTGAAAATAAAGACCAAAATGGTTGCCTTTTAAAATTACACGGACCAAAACGAACATTTTAAAAGTATAAAAATTAAATTGAACAAAAGTTGAAAATATAAGGATAAAATATACATTTAAAGATATGACTAAAATGAACAAAAAGGTAAAAATATAGAGATCAAAATACTATTTTAACCTAGTTTCTAATAATTCTATCCATCTAATATTTAATCAGTTAATGTCATTGTCAACTAGCTCAACAATAATTCGCACGTATCTTTGTCAATATAATACTCATATGGCAGGAATTTGTNAAGGAAATGCATTAAAATTAAGCCAGGTTCATCTTAGAAAAAAAATTAAATTATAAAGAATTTGTAGATTAAATTATAAAGAATTTGTTTGGCACAAAATTTTAAGTTCATGAACTATTTGAATTTTATTTTATACGTTAGAAAAAGAGAATTGACAATAGATGCAAACAAAAGAATAAGATTTTGCAAATATGACAATTTTGTTCTGCGTAAATTTATCTTTTTTCTTATCCATTTAACCATCCACCCTTTTCCCATTTTCCATTTTCCACCCGACAATCAAATGGAAATCCAGCTCAAATCACCTGGTTTAAACGAAACGAGAATCTATAAAGACTTAACTCTAACCTGAACATGATTCAATCGGCTAAGTAAGTAAGTTATTTATGAAATTTTGAGATAGAAAGAAAGCGAAAAAGAAGAAGAAGACTGACTTGGATCAAGTTGAGTTTGACTGTAAATGTGGAGAGAGAGGGATTTTGCAGGGCCAGATTTGCCAAAATCATGAACCACCACCACCACTCCCTTCATCGCAGACCTCTGATCCGTCGCCATTGTTACGTTTCTTCCACACGCCCGCCAGGTGCTCGTCGAAATGCCTCTGTGAAGATCGATCGCCAAAATCAAGAAAATCAACCAGGCAAGTACTTGTTGTTGTTCAATGGAGGATTGCGTGCGGATTCTTTTCTTTCTTTTCTCATCGTTTCGGCAATGGAATCTGATCCTTTCCCTCTTCTTCTTCTTGCTTTGGGTGCGTTCATTCTAGTTCATGAGAGAGTGCAAGTCAAGTCTGATGTTGGTTAGAAAAGAGATTGATTCATGAGATGTTTTTGAGTAAAATTAAAAGTAAAGTTGTGAGCGTTATCTCAAAGCGAACAATATTATATATGCCTACCCTTTTAACGTTTCAAAATAATAAACCCGAAGAAGATTTGAAAACTAGAAAGCACCATTGATAATAATAACACTGGAAAATAGCAAAAAAATAATAAAAAAAATATGACAGTTTATAAAAAGTAAAATTTGAGAGAAAATCTATAGAAAAGAGTGATAGATTTATTCCTAGAAATAAACGAGGGGCATTTCACTTGATGCATGACTCATCTCAAAAAGTGAACCCACAAAAATTTCTCATTCAATTTTCGAAACGAGGTCGTAGATCAAATTTGACGAAATTGAAATTCTAAAAGTAAAATTGACTTTTCTGACTACGTTATATATTATATTTGAGTTCAAGTTTGATTGAGACTATGCTATTTTTGTAAAATTTCAACTTTGTATTACAGTTAAAAATACACCTTATTGTCCTATACTCAGTCTCTTGAGGTGTGAGGTTAAGGTTCAAATTCCCGTATCTCTAATTTACTGTATTAGAAAAAAAAATACCCAAACTAATTTTATCAAATTTTTTTTAATAAAATACTAATTTTATCAAATTGAACAACTTAGAATTTATCCCTTTTTTTAGTACAACTTAGAATTTATCCTTAAACAAGTTAGTATTTGCAACTTTTAATAACCCCTCTAAATTCATAGTATAAATTGATCCAAAAAAAGAAAAGAAAGATAAAACTACTTCCGTCAATTAACTCCGTTACTGTGCAACAGTTCACACCGTTAAACAAGCGAAATTCCAATAATACCCCCACTGTTCTCAATGGAAAAAACCCTAATTGGCCTCGCTCTCCTATATAAGAAATTCACCGTCAAATTCCCAATGCCAAATCAATGGCTCCTCGGCGCTTCCTTCCGTTCCAAATTCTCTTCCAAAAAATGATTTTTGCCGATCGAATCTTGTTCTTCGTTTGCTCCAATGCTCTCATTCTACTTTGTTGTTGTTGTTTTTTTTTTTTTTTTGAAATCTTCAATCGACGGAGAAATCGCAGCGAAAAATAATTCGAAAAGCAAGTTCAGCTTCTTGACTGGATCGTCCCATCGATCCAGCCAAAAATTTACTCAAACCTTGCGATATGGAAGTCGACAGCATCACTCGTCTGAGATTCTTCTTCTGGATTCTCAGGCCCTTCCAATTGCTGGTAAATTTCTATTTTAACCGATTCTGCTGTTTACTTCGCAAAACTGAAAGAAAATCGTTCTGTTTCTTTTTCCTCTTTTTGTGTTTTTTTCTCGAGAAAGCAAACGCACTCTGTCCCATAACTGATTATTCAACTCAATGTTTTGTGGCAATTTCTTCGTTTGCGAAATGAAATCGATTCCGACTATAACTCGCCGGGATGATCTTCTGATTCAATGGTCATAATAGGCACATCGTCGGCTCACATTTACGCCTGATTTTTTTGTTTACTTATCAATTCTGTTCGATTTTCTTTCGTTTTCTTCCATTTTGCAGCAATGAATCTGCTGTTCTTCCGTTTCGTGTTTTCAAATTGGTGGAATCTGCTTTCGATTTAGTACTCTTTCCGTGAAGAGGAATTTTTTTGGTGTATTTAAGAGCGTTGATTTTGATAAAACAGAGTGATAGAAAAATGAGATTAAATATAAAATTGAAGGGGCAAAACAAACATCGAGCATTTATTTTACAACGTAGCTGACCAAAACGAACATTGCAACATTTTGACTATGAACTTAAAATTTAACTATTTTTTTTTCTTTTTATAACAAATTATGTGATTTTGATTTGTTTCAAACTGTTATAAACTTTTTTCAAATGTTTGGGGCTTGGTGGGTAGTTTTCCAATTATTGATTGACTGAAAATTGTTTCTAATTCAGTCATAGTATATATTTGAAAGCATTTGAAATTTTAAAATGGTAGAATTACAAAGGATAAAAATTTTGATAAATATAATCTTTCACAATGTAAAATTTTCATCAAATGGAGATTGAACTACTAATGGATTATGAGGAGCAGGTGAACGAGAACTTGTGAGAATTATATAAAAAAGGATAAAAACTTTGACAAAATATATTACTTTACATTATAGATTCATTTACATTATTATAGATTCATTTTATGTTTGTTAAAATTAAAACATTTAAAATATAATGTATTTTAAATTATATAACTTTGTAAAATAATAATAATACAAAATTCATAAAAAAAATGTGAATAAGTTAATTAACATAAATTTAGATTGAACTAAAATAATTACTTTTTATTTATATAATATATTGAACAATGAAAATAAAGAATAGATTTTGGTTTTCATTTGTTTTCTGATTAGCAACCTCAATTTAATTAAGGTTGAGGATGAATGAAACTAATCATTAGTCCAAATCTAATTGCATGAGCGTGCAGTGACTAGAACTCATGAATGAAATACAGACTAAAATATTTTCATAAAATTGATTATTTATTAATGAATATTTGACATTTCAACATTGACATTTAGTATTTGGTGTAAATGGAATGATTTGAAGCTCTTTTTTTTCGTAACAAAGCCGCAATTAAAAAACTTTCCAAAGCTACAATTCTGACACGAGATGATAGACACCAAGAGAGATTTCACGCAAGCTTTGATGCTAATTAGGGTTCAAGCTTTAACAACTTAGTTCTTGAATCTAATTAATTAAAAACATTTAACACAATAATAACAGAATGTACATCGAGAAGTTGCAAACTTTAAAAAATTCCCCTTCAACTAAATCCCAAAAATTAGAATATGTCATCTTCAATGGAAAGAAAGATCAAGAATATAAACTTTGCTTGTAAAGAAGCATTTTCTTATGAATAAGATTTGGAAGTTTGAGTAGCTATGTTCGCCTCCTATGAGACTAGCTATTCTGTTGGGTGGTTTCTTTTTATTTTTCTATTCAGTTTGTTTGGTTCCTTACGAATGGTTGGTCATAAATTTGGAGAACTTTGGTAGTAAATCTGAGAGGAGGAAAATGGAGAGCTCTGTGTGTAGAGTAACAAAATTTTCCTTGTGAGGTGGGATTTTATCAGAGCAAGACTAGAAGGACATCTAGTATGGGACATAGTGTCGTCTCTCCACATGTGTGGCTTAACTTTCGCCCTAGCAGCATTTTTTTTAAAGTTTGCCTTTATATATATATATATATATATAATTCTAACATATCATCAATTAGTTCTAAGAAAGCAGTTACTAGGGGAAGAGTTTATGTTCTTACAATAAAATCTCAATAATCATGCTATATATGATATTTTCACTCATGTGTAAAATAATCTATAAGATTTACATAATAAACCATATCAATGGTGTTATCCTATGCTAATGAGAAAACAAATACAAAGTTAATTTTGAAACCCAAATTATTGGACATGAGGGCATCTTCTACCACCTAATGCACAAAAATATGTACAACATAATGGAAAGGAAAGTATTTCAGCATCATAACTTACAAATTCTGAGTAATGGGCCAAAACTTCAAGGTTTATCATGGGTGCCAAATATCAGTTAGTAAATAGAAAGAATTCCACTCCACTAGTCCCTAAGCTATCTGAATTTTGGCAACCCAACCATGTCTAGAACAGTCTCAAAGATCATTCAAATTAATCAAAGAATTATTAGAGTAATAGATGTCTAACCGAGCGGTTTCGCAATCAGCTTCCGAAGTGGCTCTCTCCAGGGACTCAGCTAAATCTGCTTCCCAATGACCCAACCTACAGACTCTCTTGTAAGTTTCGTAACTTGCTGCTCTTAGGCCTTCTGATACCATATCTTTTAGAGATCCCAGAATGCCATCGCTGTGTATCGCATCAAGGAAAGTTTCAGATAAGCCAGGTTGCCAGAAAACAAGAATGGCGCACTTCTTGCCCACGAACCGTACATCGAACTCTTCACATAAAACTTCGTGGGATCCTTGGAGTGCCGCTTTCAGCAACCCGGCGGTCATCCCGTCTCTAAATCCCCACAAGAAAACCAACTGCCCACAGCTCACTTTTCTAACGTTCCTTGTCGAGATCTTTACGTCCTCACCCTCGTCCTCAGGCTCTTGGTTGCAGGGAGGGAATGAAGCAAAAACATTTGCACACCCTTCAAGATTTGAGGCCAAGGGCTTCTCGTTGAATTGGACACCACTGAGATCAATTTTAAGTACAGAGCAGACTTTTGTAAACAAATGGCATAACTTTATAGCATTATGCCCATGAAACTTGCGCTCATTTCCTGTACCTGCAACATGATGCAATATGGTTAAGCAGTAATACTTAATAAGAGATCACAATGATGATCAGAGCTCTTAGAGATGCAGGGTTCACTATGGTGCAAAAGTTCAATGGAACCTTGATGTAAAGCAAAATAGCAAGCCTTAGGTGGGAACCCGATACGTGAAAAACACAAGTAATTCACTTGAAAAAAGAGTACAGATGTAATGAAATAGGATTTTTTTTTTTTTTGTATATTAAATAACTGTAAAGCAAACGATAAATTTCTTTGCACTCGTCGGTAAGACAAAATACGATTCTAAAAACAGCTAAAGCAAACCAAAAGGCCAAGTAAAGGGCGGCAGTTAAGAAATGAATGAAAACATAGAAAAAGTATTAGGTGCTTGTTTGAGTGAGAGCACTTAACTTAGCACCAGGCAAGCGACTGGACAGGTGTGGTGCCTATGTCCTCGTCGGCATGCATTTATTAAAACAATGTAAGTAAATGGTGATGCAAACTTAAGGCTTATAGATATGATGTTATAGAAATATGGTAACAAGTCCCTGTTATCTCTCTCTCACACACACACAGGAAAAGTGTGGTTTGTACTGAATCAGGTAGATGAACAAGGTGACAGACCTTCAACAGGAATATCCAAGTCAACAGGTGCAAAATAGTGATTCTTCAAGTAGGAAAGAGCTGAAGATATACTGGTCGGTTTATTGAGGCCACTAATATTTCTCATCAGATGCTGGACATCAAGCACTTGTGGGAAAACTGAATGCAATGAATCAGAAAACTCATCTATCCTAGGAGGTAGGGGGGCAAGGAATTTTGAGTGAATAAATGTAAAATCTGCATGCAAAAGAAAAGCATTAGAAGAAAAACTAGAGAGCAAAAGAAAAAGAAAAAAAACCAAGAGACCAACCAATAATAAAGAATATATCAGATAAACACCATTAAGAGAACCGTAGGAGACAATAGGTTTCTGTGAAGCAGAAATCATATCTATCACCTCTCGAAAACCACGAAATCTCTTGTTTTCCTCCTCTTCAAGATTTTGAAGCTCCTTCTGCATACAAAATAGTTCACAAGATATACAGAGCTGAACGACACATTCTAGCAAATCCATTCGAAGTTTGGCAATACTCCCTAATCCCTCGCCCCTCGGACTAATACATCGAACCACTAGTTCTCAATTTTGAAAATTAAGTCCTCCCTTATAAATTTTCTGATTCCACCGTTTCTTCATTTTTGTTCAAAAAAAATGCAAGCAACATGGAAAATCCATTGGGCACATCTTTGTATCTTGTAAACTGGCCACCGAGTTATGGAACAAACTCCTCATCAGTTTTGGATGGTCGGTAGCTCTTCCAAAGGATATCACCCAATTATTAGCTTATATACACTCACTGGTCATCCTTTCAAAAAGGAAAAGCTTTGTCTTTGGCTCCATTTTGTCTGGGCTTTATTATGGACGGTTTGGCTTGAATGGAATCGTCGCATTTTCCAAGGAAGAGAGCTCACAACGAAACTTCTTTTTGATTCTATAGTTGGTTTGGTTGTATCTTAGTGTAAATGCTCTCCTCTCTTTAAACACTATAGTTTTGTATCTCTCTTATCTAATTGGAGAGCTTTTTTGTAGCCATCCTATGGATCTCTCCCCTTTTCTGTACTCATATTTCATATTATCAATGAAATAGTTTCTTTTCAAAAAAAAAAAAAAAATTTGTTCAAGACATAAGTATTTGTTTAATTATGCCAATGCGAAGGTCAGGTGAAAATAACGAAAGAACCAACTGAAGTAGGTAAATTTTTACAAAGAGCTAAAGAATCAATAATTTTAGAAACTTAGAATGGTGCATTTGGATCAATAAAATGTATTCTCTATAAACCCCATTTCCTAATATGAAAATCTGGCGAAATATTTACTAGTACCTCAAGCAGAATCTTGTCATCTTTTGAGCTTGTCAAAATGGCACGAATTGCTTGAGTTCCTCCGCCCTTTGCTGGAATTACGACAGGAACTAAGTCATCAGAAAAGTCACTCAACAGCTACAGAAAATGCAGAAAAGAATATTAGTCTAAATTTGAACTCCCTCTGCAGAAAAAGCAATATCATAGAGAAATGCATTGTATTGTACGAAGCAATAGGCTAAATCATTACCACATTAAAAAGGATAGTACTAAGAATAAATTTGAATACCTTTTTTCACTCTTAAATAAATCATTTCACATCATATTTTTTGCTTAGTTCACTGTTATTTAATTACTGTCATAATTTATAAGTTCAGAGGCAAGTTCATGGTTCTCTCTCCCACACCCTTCCTGTTTGCTTCCCATCATTTCCCCTTCTCTCTCAAGTTTTTTTTTTTTTCCAATGGGTCGAGGTCTTTGTTAGGAAATATTAGTAAGGACATGTCAAGGGTACTATTAGGATATTAAGAGGGCATGATTTTTATTAGACATTAGTTAAGGGAGTTGGTTAATAAAGAGTGGTTATAAATAGAGTGGGTGAAAGGAGTTGAAGAGAGGTAGAATTTTGGAGGTTAATTTTGGAAGACCTTGGCCCTTCCGAAGTGCTTGAGTTATGTAATTTGTCTTTAACACACATATATATATTTTATCATTTTCTGGTTCCTCTCAGTCTTCTCATATCTGTTTTAATAACAAATTGTTTAATTAGACTAGCTTATCATGTGTATTATATGGTGCAACCTAAAACCAAGAATTCTTAACCTAGGGTGTTTTATCATTATTCACAAAAAAGGAAAAAAAAGCCCAAATACATGAGATTTGATCCTCCAAAGAATTTAAACCAGCCACGTAAAATAACAAATTAACCAACTAAAACTAGTTATAGCACATATTACTAGTCCCAGAACTATAAAAAAAGTTTCAATTCCATCATTGAACTTTAAATTGTGATTCTATGTAGATTGTAGTCTCAATCATTAGCACCATTAACTAAATGATGGTGTGTGGCATAACATGGCAAACAAGTCACAATAAATGATTGCTTGACAAAATAAAGGGACATGGCCAAAAAAGATTTGATATGTTGCTTCGAAAAGGTTATGTTGCACGTGTCACATTATTTGTCCAACTATCCAGTTCATTTGCATTTTTCCACCACATCATGTCAAATTAGCCAAAGTTTAATCAATAAGCATGTCACATTACCACTTCATTAACAGTTTTAACAACAAAAAAGAAATGGAATCACAAAGTTCAGGGATGTAATGGAAACTTTTTAAAGTTAAAAATTATATAGACAATCATAAAAGTTCAAGGATGTAAGGGAAACTTTTTAAAGTTAACAAATTAAATATACAATAGTTCAGGTAATAAATTTGTAATTTTACTATAAATCAAATATAATAACACACATGATGTGGAAATGTAAATGTGCAATACACATGTTAAGTTACTAATTGTTAGAGTATATATTAGTATATTTTATATTCTTGTATTAATATTAATTTGTCATTTACCTTCTCCTTATAGGATTAGGTCAACCTTGTATATTTGTCTATATATATAGACTTTAATAATGAGAATACATAATATTGGATTCTCTCCAACCTTAGTCTCTACATGGACGGAGCAAAAAGTGGAGTCTTGGTCAGAGCAAGCCGCCCTATTCTATTACCAGACATAATTGGGAGAAGCTCATCCGAAACTCGAGCTAGAAACGCCTCATTTCGTTTCGTTCCCGTTCTTCATTTCCGGGTCTCCTGTCGAAGGAGAAAGGCCTTCGCATTCCTAATCCGGTGGGGGGGGCCCCATTAGGGTTTTCGTGCCCATTAGGGTTTTGCGCCCATTAGGGTTTTGTGCGAAACGCCTCATTTCGTTTCGTTCCCGTTCTTCATTTCCGGGTCTCCTGTCGAAGGAGAAAGGCCTTCGCATTCCTAATCCGGTGGGGGGGGCCCCATTAGGGTTTTCGTGCCCATTAGGGTTTTGCGCCCATTAGGGTTTTGTGCCCATTAGGGTTTTGTGCCTTAGGGTTTTGGTTCATTGCTATCCAACACCACCACCGCTGCCGCCGACCATCGCCGCTGCCGCCGCCGCCACCGTTTGCTGATTTGCCAGTTATTTTTCCAATTGCTATTCGTGGGTTTCATCTCGCCGTCCTTCGCACCTTCGTCGTGGTGCGCTTCTGTGACCGCCAATCGCCTTTACTCCTCTGGTTGTCGTGGAGGAGCACTTGGGGTTTCTGGTTTCAGAAAACACCTAATCCGGTTTGGTTCCAACCGTTTGATTCATCTGTTTTGTTTGGTTCGAGTGGTTTGGTCTGGTTCTGTCGTTTTGTTCAAATAAGTTCGCTTGTTTGTTATGGCTGAGAAGAAATCAATCGTAACTTCTGAGGTGATCCCAATGATATCAAAAATCACAGAACACAAGTTGAATGGATCAAACTATTCTTCATGGAAAATCAATGTTCGTCTTTTTTTGCGAAGTATTGATATGGACGATCACATAACTGAGGATCCGCCTAAGGATGAGAGCAAGAAAGCTTGGTTGCGGGATGATGCTCGACTGGTTCTGCAGATCAAGAATTCGATCGAGGATGACATTATTGGCTTGGTCAATGAATGTGAGTATGTTAAAGAGTTACTTAAATATTTAGAATTCCTTTATTCTGGAAAAGGAAATGTTAGTCGAATATTTGAAATCTGCAAGCGCTTCTACCAACCTGAGTTTGGTGACCAATCTCTTACAAATTACTTTATGGAACACAAACGAATTTACGCAGAGTTTAATGCATTGCTCCCAGATAGTAATGATGCAAAAGTTCGGCTTGCCCAACACGAACAACTAGCAGTTATCAGTTTTCTTCTTGGTCTTCCACCTAGATTTGATGTGGCCAAAGACCAATTACTCTCTGGTTTGGAAATTCCAGCTTTGGAGGAGGCATACACTCGAGTACTTCGAGTTGAGAAGTCACAACCCGTCTTGTCATCTCAGTCTAATAGTGCTTTGGTTGGACATAGTACAAATGCAAACAGAGGTAATACCTACCAAGGGAATTCCACGACTTCGAACGCTCAACGTTCTAGTGCTCCAAAGTCAAATTCAGGAGATATTATTTTTTGCAATTATTGCCATAAGCCTGGTCATACAAAACGAGAATGTAGAAAGCTATTGAATAGAGGTCAGAAAACACAGTCTGCCCATGTTGCATCTACTCCTGATAATGCTGGCAAGTTAGTTACAATTCCTGCGAAAGAATTTGCTAAGTTCCAACAGTATCAAGAGTCATTGACGGCATCGTCCTCTAATCTGATTACCGCCATCGCTGAGTCAGGTAACACCAGTAAATGTCTTATTTCCTCCACATCAAAATGGGTCATTGACTCTGGTGCGACAAATCATATGTCAGGTA